CGACATGCGTACCTGGTGAAAAACACACGCTGCATCGTCGAGGGCAAAACGAAGCAATTCAGACTCTTGTTTTGGGCAATTTTAGCATTTAGTCATGCTCTATTGTCGGTGCCAGGAGCAGCCACTGCACCTGCTGGCTTTGTTAGGGGGGTCCAGTAATTTTTGGCAAGATCGGCACGGATTCTGTCTGTCTGAGGTGCCGTTCTATCCGGATGCAGCAGCACAGCGCCAACCGGGAAGGGACGACGCACCACGCCCTTGCCCTCATTCCCGCTGCGACGCCTTCGTATCGACTAGGCCATTAAGATGCTGACCAAAGACTGTGCGCTTCGCCAATAGAGACGCTGTAGAGGCGTGTGCCCTGGTTCAGTGGCAGCCTGACGGCACAAATGACGCCAAACTGTGTGCATCAAGTCCATGGATCTGTCCCACGGGTAATTTTTTTTTTTTTTTTTCGCTCCAGCTGGCCTATTTCGCAGGACCACAGCAATGGGGACGCCGTCTCATTTTTTTTCCCGCCACCCACCAAGGGATTCATGCACAAAGCAACAAGCAACGTGTACCTATTACTGCTCCATAATTGTACATAGTACATGATGATCAAGGTAGGGAACCTTTGGATCCGTTCGTTGACCGAGGCTCGAGGGGAGTGCACACCAACTGCTGTAAGGATGCCAGATGGGCTACCGAAGCAACATGGTTATGCCTTCGGCCACCAGCTAGTATTTGGATGCAAAACCCTGACCGAATGCCCTGCATAGGCATAGGCATATGTGGCCTTGCAGAGTCGTCATAGGCTCGGACGCGAGGGTTGCCATGGCCCGATTTTCCTCAGCAGATCTTGCTCAAGCGACAGGGCAAGCACAGGAAGAGGAAAAATCTTGTCAAGAGGCGATTGGCTAGCAGCAAGGCAAAAAAGCCTTCTCCGAACTACGGTAAGCCAAAAGGCGCCACAAGGGCCAACCAAACCGATTGGTCTAGATGTGGCGGCAAAGCCTTAGATCATGGTGCGAAGCCATCGCTTTCCCGGACTACGGCGAGCCTGCGATGTTCTTTTGCGCCTGTCAAACTCGAGCTACGTTGCTACGCTACGGCGAGTACGACACATGTCGAGGGAGCTTTCCGCCACAACCTAGGACGTAGCACCTATTACGGGCCATGGACTGCGCACACGACAAAAGAGACCGACGGCAGGGTTTAGTGATACCGCGAGCGGGTCATGGCCGGACATGGTGTGAAGCTTGTGGGGAGCATCCCAAAAACCACGAGGCGGAGGACGGAATGGAGCAGCTCGACCAGGCGAGTCCACCCCCAGCCAAAGCCACTCGAGGTCCAAGGTTCGCCCACGATGGTAAATCTGAAGCTCTGACTGGCCGCCGAAATGCTTTCTGTCGGTCGTCGAATGCGGCTTAAACCGTGAATCTCATGGCGAATGTTGAAATGCTTTCTAAAATACTGCCTTTCGCGGGCCTTTAGCTTCCAGCCAAGCTGATACCGTCCATCAAGGGTGACAACGACTACGACTTTGACAAACAAATAAAGCTGTTGTGTCCCCGTCAATCCCTTTCCTCCTCGTCCCTCTCCTTCATCCTCATCATCTTCTGTTGGTGTGGTGGAAAGCGGCCGAACGCAACCCCCAACCTTATTTTGTTGCTAGGGCATTGTCTCTCCCTCTTTTTTCTTTCCCCGCAAGATTGGACTCCTCCAATCACATTCCTTCGTGGGCAGCAACAGCATAATTCCTCGATTATTTGCTACTGTGCACTGCATAACTCGATTGCATTATATCCATCACAATGGCGGCTCCTGCGCAGGACCACCACCACCTGGGCGGCCTGGTCCCCGGAGAAATCCCCATCCCCCACGGCCCCCATGGAGACGGCGACGACCGCGATGATTACCCGCTCGAGGGTGTCGACTTGGACGAGCGCCGTGTTTTCAGCCATGTCACCCGTCCCGATGACAGCTACACCCCCGATGGCACCTACTGGGCCGATCTGCCCTTTGGCGAGCGTGTCAAGTTCGTCTCTGCTGTCGACCGACAGGCCGCCAAGGAGGAGCTCAGCACAATCTGGTCCATGATCAAGAAGGATCCTCTGTCTCCTCTTGGTTGGTATTTCCGCCATGCCGTCATCCCTGGTGCCGGTCTTGGTCTGGAGGGTTACGTCCTTTTCTCCATCGGTAACCTGTCTCCCCTCTTCAGCCAGGTCTGGCCAGAGTGCTGGGGTTCCAAGCCTACCGTTTGCAACCCTAACTGGATTGCCGCTGTCACTTATCTGGAAGTTGTCGGCATCATGATTGGTCAGGTCATTGTTGGTGTAAGTGCTCTCTCAAAACTAGCCAAATTTGAATACCAAAAAAAGCATGACGCTAACGCATTCTCTCTAGGTTATTGGTGATTGGATTGGCCGTCGCTGGGGTCTCATTCAGGATGCCATCATCATGTTCATCGGTCTTCTCATGCTCACTGCCAGTTGGGGTCTCAGTCTGCAGGGCTGGGTCATTTGCTATGCTTGGTCTCTGTTTTTCTACTCCCTCGGTGTCGGTGGTGAGTATCCCATCACTGCCACTTCTTCCCTCGAGAGCGCCGTCACTGCCGGCCGACTTTCCACCAAGGAGGATCGTCTGCACCGTGGTCGCCGTGTCACCATGGCTTTCCTGATGCAGGGTTGGGGTCAGTTTGTCAACCAGGTTCTGCTCATCGTCCTGCTCGTCATCTTCAACAGCGGAAAGGGTGGCCCCCCTTACACCAAGGAGGCTGCTCAGTTCACCTTCCGTCTGTCTTTCGCCTTCCCTGCTATTGGCACCCTGTGGCTCGTCTACTACAGAACCTGGAAGATGCCCAACGCCTCTAAGCAGCTCGCCGAGGCCAAGAGCCGCACCAGCGTCACTGGTTACGATGTTACCGCCCTCAAGTCGTGCTTCACTCACTTCGGCGGCCGTCTGCTTGCCACCGCCGGTACTTGGTTCTGCAATGACGTCTTCTTTTACGGCAACAAGCTCTTCCAGGGCCAGTTCATCAAGGTCATTTCCGACAACCCCAACTCCCTTCTGACCACCTGGTCTTGGAGCTTGGTCAACATTGTCGTTTCCCTGGCTGGTTACTACTGCGCTACTTTCCTCATCGACAACAAGCTCTACGGTCGTAAGTGGATGCAGCAGGTTGGCTTCTTCATGTGCTTCCTCATGTTCGTCATCCCTGCCTTCAAGTACAAGTACTACACCAGCCCCGAGGGTATCCACGCTTTCCAGGCCATGTACTTCTTGTCCTCCTTCTTCAACCAGTTCGGCCCCAACTCCGTCACTTTCCTCATCGCTGGTGAGGTTTTCCCCACCCCCATCCGGGCTACTGCCCACGGTTTCTCTGCCTGTCTCGGAAAGGCCGGTGCTCTGCTTGCTTCGATTCTCTACAACTACATCGACATCCAGACCCGATTCTACGTCGTCCCATGGTTCGGTCTTGCTGGCATGTTCCTGACCTGGCTTTTCCTCCCCGACACCACCGGTCTTGACCTCAAGGAGCAGGAGCGACGATGGCGCTATATTCGTGACGGCAAGGCTGACCAGTACCACGGTGTTGCCGTCCACCCCCACCACTTGTCTCTGTGGGAGCGATTCCGTGGCGCCAGCAAGTCTTATGATCCCCAACTGGACTGGAAGTCCAAGGTTGAGGACATGCGCGCCGAGTGGGAGGCTGTCCAGGCTGCTCGTGGCCCCAAGGAGACCGAGGCTGACCACAGTGGCATGCCTGATGATGGCGAGTTCTCCCCTGAGATTCACGCCTTCTTCAAGCGCTCCAGCCCCGCTGCCCGCTCCAATGGTGTCTTGAACGAGAAGACAGTCACCGATGAGGCTTCCGAGTAAAGTCGGCAATTCTCACCCAATTTTCTATATCTCTCTCCGAAAGATCATTATTCTATATATATTTTTATTTACTTTTTTTTTCTTTTCTTTTACATTGCGTAATATGCATGAGGGGAGTTTGTTTTGGGGGTCTACTCTCTTTTTTTGTTATACCAGATATCCGGTCCATGGAAGGAGGTGATAGAAGGATGCAGATGTGCATACTTGCTGAGAGAAGACTCTCGTTTTGGACTTTATGAGATTCCCTTATGAAAAAGTTGTCCCCTGTTTAGAAGGGAGGATGGTTCGAGAAGTATGATTATGATATGCTATACTGAGTATATACATCAATGAAACACAATCAAATTGTGCTACAATCTATAATGAGTTTATGAAAATGCATTGTGAAGACTTGTGCAGTGAAGTGTTGGTGTGATGATTTCTTTGAGGCGTTGCTGACGATTTGCTTGTGGCATTGATAAGGCCGTGCTGTGTGGTTAGATCGCGTTGCTGTGTAACGAGGCTCTGATGTAACGCAGCCAAGTTTGTATAAGGAGACGTCGACCAATAGACATCGTGAAACGATACAGCTGTGCGCATGCCTATGGACGTAGAGCAGGAGATCCGAATACTAAGATCTCAGGCTACGAGGGCGCAAAACGATCAAACGGGACATCTCAAGCACCTCGAAAGTGTCGTCCGGCTATTCTCAGTGGATTTTTTTCCAGCTCTCCGGCGTCACGCAAGGCAGGAAAGTATACTTACTCTCTAATTAAGTGTGCTGGACTTGCATTCTTGCTACCAAGGCTACTTGACCAGATCCAGAAGATTCTATTGTATATATTTATTAATGCCATTAATAGTATACAATGAATAATGCAGGGCTTATATTCCTTCAAGATTCTTCCCTCACAAACTTCTCTGGAAAGGGTGATTCACTGTCGATATTCCACTGCATCTCTGTGAACCTTCCGCTGGAGTCCTTCTTGAAATGCAAAAGCCAGGCTGGAGGGCTATAATGGAACAAGCCGCTACGAAGCCGCTCGTCGGCCGACGGCAAGAAGATGAATGTGTCGTTGCTGTAGTGTGACAAGACGTGCTCTTGCTTCAGCTCCCCGTTGATGTTGAATTTTAGGCGGCCGTCTTCTTGAAATATGTCAAGGTAGAGCGCGCGGGTTCTGTGCCAATACCTGCCTTGGAGAGCTTCGTGCATAGGCTCTGGCGAGTCTGGCTTGCGAAAAATCTTTTTCGAGAGCTTCCGTCATTTCGTGGTGAGTTCTTCTCCACTTGGCTGCGGCTCGCTCGGCAAATGGCTTCAAGTCGAGCGGGTGTTTCTCATTCAAGATGACCTGGAGGAGCGATTGAGCGACCCAGTCGGCAGTGTCTCCTTGGGAGACGGAGTTGGTCAGGACAACAATGACGGACTGAGACCCCGGGACCAGCATGAAGCAGTGATTATAGCCAGCGCCGGCGCCGCTGTGATAGAAGACTTGCTCCGGCTTCGATCCTGCCCCTATCACGGGCATGGCCTCAAGGAGGCTAGGGTTGAAGCTGATCTTACCAAATTGCGCCGGGGTGATGACCTTTGCGAAGCCCAGTGCGTAAACCTCGTCCGATACGGCGATACTGTTTATGAAGCTGTGACCGGACAAGATGGTGTTGAGAGAGGCAAGCGGTGTCTCGTCATCCCGGAAGAGCGAAAGGAGACTGTTGCCCCAGGTGAGAAGATCGCCGACGGTGCTGCGCATACCGCCTGCCGAAGTCATGACGTCGCCGTCAGTGAGGCCCATCTTACCAACCTGTACTAGAGTGGAATCATCGAGGACCATGTATGGCAGCGCCAATGAGTCCGGGGGGATCTCAGAAGCGATGACTGTGGTATGTGAGAGATTGAGCCGGTTTAGCACTCTGGTAGAGAGCACTTGGCCCCAAGACTGGTTTGTTACCCTCTCGATTACCTCGCCCGCCAGCGCATACATCCAATTGTTGTAGAGCCATTTCGAGCGGACCGGGTGGACGGATGGCAAGAGGTTACACATCGCAACTGTGAAGTTCTTGGCCATGATAGTTTGGCTGTCGGCGCCTAGCCAGAGGGCGTCGAGTCGAGCAAGTCCTGTCCGATGCGATAAGATGTCGATGAGAGAGAGTTGACCGGTAAGTGATGGATTGTGCTCAAACGCGAGTTCTGGGATGTAGCTGGTCAAGGGCTCATCCCACTTGAGAAGTCCCTCGTCGACCAACTGCGCAATTGTGGCCGCGACAAAGGCCTTTGTAAGAGACGCTATGGGATATCTCGTGCTTGAGTTGGCGACGAGACGGCGCTCGACATTGGCAAAGCCGAGGTTGGTCTCTAAGACGACGTGTCCGTGGCTCATGACGCCAATGGAGATGCCAGCCGTGCCACCGACATTCTTGAGAGCCTCAATCTGTGGCAGGACATGGATCAATCTATTGTGCAATGAAGCAAATTCTGGGAGCAAAAGAGGCATCTGCTGGGCTGCTGCAAGGAGCGAGAGCGAGAAGAGTGCGAAGATGAGCATACTGGAGACCCCTGCCGTGGTGTAAGGAGCAGAGCACAGATAAGGTGTTGTCAAAAAGATGGGATTGCTTGATTATTAAATTAGGGAAGCAACCAAAAAGTGCTGCCGAGAAGAGAAACAGAATCCTTTGTTTCAATTTTGAGAGCGCTCAAGGTAGACGCACTGACGTATCCAAGTGTTGGGTACGTGTACTTGTAATACATGAGGAAAACCAACACAGCTACGTGCAGCTTCGACCAACAACATTCCTCTCTTAAAGGACTTTCTCCTCACCAACTGTAGATTTTGTCCAATCTATGCAGAAACGAATCATCATTCTTAGCTGCCATGGAACCAAGGCCCCGCTTCTCCTTTATGGGAACCGCCTGGAAGCAGGAACCGAATGCTAATCTCACCAAGACAGCTATTCTGAAGAATATATCCCCATTTTAAAGCATTAATCCAACTTATTTGACATATTTGCAGAAGAAACCTCGAGACAGTGCTTTCTATATATTGATTATTTTAGTAAGTCTATATAAATCCTTCATGCCTCACTTATACGTGTGACAAATACAAAACTATATCCTCATCATAATACCGACAAGTGATTCTTCCTCGCTGCATTTGCTAAAATTCAAACGTCTCCTCCTCTACATGAAATAGAATATCTTGACAACTTGCTTTGGACGCCGCTATTCTTCCGCTGTGTACCAACTGTGCTGGACCACAGAGATTAACCGAAGCATCCATGCCCGCTCTCGCGTCTCTCACACTCTCAAACCATTCCGTTATGTCTGGACGACCTTGGTAAATATTCCCAATGCCATCAAACTTTACAGATTCGCTCTCTTCCCCCCCATCGCTTGTAACATGAATTGTTATATCTAGCGTGACGGGCACAGCTTGGTCCGACGCAATTTCGGCGAGTTTCTTCAGCTCAGCTTCAAACCAAGAGATGTGATCGAAGCTTTTAACCGTCCATAAGAGATGAATATGCCAGCCACCAGACGCGGGCACGAGTCCTGATACAGCTTGATTCACAATGTGTGTCGCGATGCTGATGCCAGGGGTGATGCCAATTCCACCAGCCACGAGTACCACCACTGGATGTGCGCCCCAATGCAAGTGACCGACGCCATACGGGCCATCGATCTGTACTTTGGGATAGCTTACTTCCATAGATGCAGTTTGGTGCATTTCTCCTTCGTTTGCTCCTGGTTGAGCAATCTTTTCGCCATCTTCCCCAAAGTTCTGCACCTTTTTGGTAAATGAGCCAAGCGCCCTGATGGCAATCGTGGTTTCGTTTTGTCCAGGAGCAGAAGCAATAGTGAATGGATGCCAATTGAAGAATGACACGCTGGGAATCTGTACCCAAGCTATCTGGCCTGGTTGTGATGGCGCGACCCCCGAAACGTTGAATTTCGTTACACCTCCTGAGTAGTGTATAACTGATTTGACTGTCAAGCTCCGGAAATTGTTATAAAATCGGATGCCGCGATCAATTACCCAGAGGCCAAATCCAGGAAGAAGAAATTCGGGCCCCTTATTAGCGTGGTATAAGGCCCCTGCAACGAAAACCAGGAAGAAAAAGTGAGGGTAGTAGAAGGCCTCGAACCAGCGACGACGAAAAATCTTGGGAACAGATGTGATGGCGATGATACACAGCGATATCCACGCAGCTATACCCACGGGGATACGAGGCGCTTGAGCTGCCGTGTAGAACTGGTTTGTCTGCACATAATGTTGTATGATGAGGCTGCAGTGCAGTGTTGCATGTATAAATGTCGCAAGACCAATCCAGCGATGATACCTGAGTAATACTGCCGAGGGAATGCGAGCGACGTGAGCAAAGAGGTTGGTACGCGCGCCCATGAGGAGGCTAAGACCGCCGTTGGCGATTGTGAGCCAGCCGTAGAGTTGATAATTTGTAGTATAAGCAAACTTGTTCCAGCCCCAGAGGAAGTTGAGAAAGGTGAAGACTGAAACGCGGACGAGGATGGGAATGTTATTTCGCGTGATAAATGGGATAACAGACGGCAGCGTTCCAATCTTATGTATGGTAGTATAGATCTTCCAGTGCTTCTGGCGTTTTGTATTCGGCCGGCCTACAGAAAGAGAACGTGAGATTCGATCCCTAGAGGATAGTATGAAGGTGATGGCGAGAAAACCTACCTTTTCTATAAAGATGTTGGAGATATTGCGGAACGTGAAGCGCACTCTCAAAGAAGAGCATTCCAATAACGCAAAGGAAGTAAGCCCTGGCAGCCGTATACTGATCGTCGATGATAGGACTAAGCATAGATGGGGACACCATATTGTCGAATGTTGATGAGTATAGAATCAAAGGAATGTGAGTGCAAATAATCTTGCAATAAGAAATGAAGTTATCGAAATAAGGCAGTCATAGAAAACTGCCGATTATATATGTTACTTGAGAGTGTCTCACTCATTTCGAAATTATACATTGCACCAAACAGAGTATTTAGCAGTTGCATAAACAATCTCAGCGCATATAGCCAATAAGAAATGAATGATAACTACCTATACTGACAGACAAGACTGATTACACATGCCCTGTTTAATAATCTTGCTTACTCCGTACTTTGATCTCAAATAGCCAGGGGTAATGGTTGGATATCTTATCTAGATACGCTCGGCACTTGTGTCCCATTTAAAACAAAGTTATCCCGCTCCCTCCTTTTCGACGTGGAGTAGTATTTTGTAAATTACTCTTTTGGGAAAATTTGATGAATATATCGGCTACAATTGTAGCACCCCCAGAGAAAAGCTAGTTAGCATGCATGTCTTGGGCCAATCCCGACGTTACATGGGGTTTGGCACTAGAGACGGCCGGCCCCTGAACGTTTGGAATCAAGATGACAAAAGTTCCACGTTTGTTTTAACCTCTGTATTCAATTTGATTAAGCAATGAATGATCTACGATAGTTCATCCGCTGCCGAATACTAGCTTTCCGGTAGCTAAACCGTTGACAAGTAAGAAGAGGAGAGATGATGAATATATAAAGACAACAAGAATCTGCTCCTGCAATTATCTTGTTGTTCCGCATTCAGTACTCAATTCCGCCATCAGACAAAGAACTTCGAACTTCAAACCTCCAAGCTCAAGAAACCAACATCATACATACGCAATCTTTCGCGACTACACTTTGACTATACCAACAATGTTTTTCTCAACTATGCAGACTCTTTCCTTCCTTTCGGCTCTCGCTCTACCCGCTGTCATCAGTGCTAGCAGCGTCGGCGATTCAGGCACTCTCTCTTCCCTTGATGGCGGCCTTGGAGGAGTCGTTACTGTCGCCAGCGATTCTTCGCTTAAGATTACACAATATAAGCTGGCTGACGCCAGTGCCCCTGAGCTTTACTGGTGGGGAAGCACCTCCAGCGACCTCTCTGCTGGTTTCCGCATCTCCAACACACACATTACCGAAGCCGCTACGTCGGATACCCTGACGATTAACTTGGATGCCGGCCATTCGCCTGCCGACTTTTCCACTGTGGGACTGTGGTGTGAGAAGTTCAAGACCAACTTCGGCGAGGCACAGCTTAAAGCCACCGGCACGGGAACTGGCGGTGACTCGCAAACCACCACCGGAGCTGCAGCACCGGCACGCACTACCACTGGTTCAGGCTCTGCAAATTCTATCGGGATTATGTTTGCCATTGTGGCCATGGCTGCTGGAGTCGCAATTCCGGCACTGCTTTAATTGAACAAGAGCAGCAATGCTAATATTGCATGCAAATGTTTTATACATGTACCTACTAAACTATGCAAAAGACGGAAGATATTTATATTTAGGAAGGTAGATTAAAGTTCTCGTTTAGATGTCATATTACTATAGATTTAATCTTTACTGCGATTCCTTTTATTTCATCTTTTTACTGGATAAACCTAGCGCATGTTTTTGGATGCTCCAAGTTCAACCTCGAGCACGCTTTCTTTTTTTTAATAAGCCACTATTCTGGGAATCACAGCACAACGCATTTACCACACTGCCGCGAGTGAAGCGCACGTTTTCTTAGACGACTGGGAAACGCCGACACTCCCGGAGATTTCGTTGGTCATGAGGGTATAGACGAGTTCTTGCCAATCACGCTCCGTGCTCTGCTTTTTATTACTGTACACTACTGCACCAAGCTGGAGGGAATAGAGTCATTTAATTTAGCAATGTCGATTTGGCTGAGGCGCTGTTCTATTTCCAAATAAACTGGCCCAGCTCTTACTTGGAAGTTCATTCTATACCCTAATTTTAGCTTACAATAAGGCAATTCACTAAGCAGCCCTCGTTATGTGCTATGAGTCGTATAGCGTACTATTCCACTTACATCAAAGTGTCATACGGCTTATTACTTGTGGCGTACTTCGTTTAGACTTTGGGTTTGCATATTATCTCACGTTGGGAGCACATGGCGCACAAGAACGTTTACTCAGCCTCTACCTACATGTATAAGCAACCGCTAGCAAGGTGGCTTATACCTCGTACTCTGTTTACGTAAAGCAGTTATACGCTTCAGTAAATTTAGCTAACGGGCTTATACATTACACAAGCCAATGGCATCCATGGATATTATTTCTGGCAGCTTTAGCGTCAAGCTAGCTGTGGCTTTGTACGGAACACCTCTATCCGCTTACTCTGTGTATGTCAGGTTAAATATAGCATATCGTAAAACTGTATTTTCAAATGAATAGATCATCTATATAAACAACTTTATATCTTGCTCTTCAGCTATCATTCTACAGCAGTCACAACAGCATTACAGCAACAATCACTACAACAATACCATTACAAATAACAACATCTCTTCGACCGCATATTTCTACTTAGATCTGAACGAGTAACTCATTACCTTTATTAAAATGCATTCCGCTATCGCCTTTACTCTCTCCACTCTGGCCCTTGCCGTCTCCGCAGCTCCTGCTCGCCGGACTACAGGCTCTGTTCAAGTTCAGTTTGCCAACGATATCACTGGAGCAAACGGCAACGCCTTGATCCCTCTTGATGGATCCAATATTAGCCTTGGACAGGCTTATGCCGATACCAATCTTTCTCGGGATGGCACTCTCTTTGTCACTAGCCTACAGTTCACTGCCGATTTCACCAACGTGCAGTGTATTGTATTGAAGGATTTTACCACTGAGGTCGCTAGCATTGCCGACCCAGCGCGAGACTTCCAGAGATTCTCCCAGAAGCCTTTGAACTGGCAAACTGGCTTCACTATCAGCTGCACTAAGTCTGCTTAGACTTTCTCTACATTCAGGGTTTAAACGGGATTTTTAGAAGGGCATGGTTTTGGTGTTTGGTTTTTTTTGGGAGTTTTTTGGGCATTCATTGCATCTCAAACTGGTAGAAGATATATACTTGCGCATCGATCCATAATTACAATATGAAATCATTCATTTACATTGTGTATAACACGCGCCCTCCTTCATATTACTCTTGACTTATTTATATGTTCCTGCAGGGCAAATGGATATACTAATAGCAATAGCTAAGCTGGTTTTCACGTGTCGCCCCAATTTTTCTCTTCGGCGACATAAATCTCAATCCTAGCGCATTACTCGTACATCTTGGACTCTCTCAGGAACGTTCCCAATGAATCGCTCTTATCTCTCCACTAATGTGGCGACTCGGGCTGTCAAAATAAAAAGTTCTCAATGGGCCACCTGGTGACCATGGAGAGCATGATTGTGTTTTACTTGAGCCTTCCATGCCCCTCCGGGTATCTCGGTCTTTTTGTTTACGTGGAGTGAGTCTGCCGATCGCCACCTTATTCCACGAAACTATTGTGCCGAAATTGCGTATTGTGGATTCGATATAGATTAAAAACGCAACAATCCCCCCCGATCCCTTCCGATCTAACCGTTGACAACAGTTGCGCAACGGCCTTATTAGGAGATGAAAGTCAGTATGACTTCATAGATTCGTTTATTCGCGGAGAAATGGACAGGCTTGTCACTCATGGGCTTACTTCTATAACTTGTTTGCTTGTCTTCACCCTCTTTCAATATCCTCTAGCTTCCCGTCGTAGGAAGTCTTATTTTCTACTATTTGAGGCGCAGATAGCCCAGCTAAACTGTCATTACCTGCTTCAATACTGTCTCGGAAAGTTCTGTTTAAATGATCAAAAGCATTAACCATTAGAGCCAAACCTTGGCAATACGACTGCACACTGCTCACTTCTAATATCGATTCCTGCGATTCAAACCAACCGAAATTATGGAGGGGTCGTCTAATTCAGCCCGCGATGCGTCAAATGATGCTGCCGGTAATATCACTTCACCAACTGGGCAGGTCACAGACGAGTCTATGTCTTCCTCAAGGCGAGGTCTTAATGAGAGTCGCGAGGATCAAGATCGTGGAAGCCTCCGTCGACGGAGCAGAGCCTCAAGAAGGTCTACCTTTCGCAGCGCGGCACCTATATCAACAGCTGGCCAAGGAACTCAATTTAACCTTGCTGGTCCTAGCGACAACCTTCAATTGCGCAGCGCGCATGAACCCTTTGTTCACCCTGGCTATAGTGATCTCAACCCATCATATGAGCAGCCAAATAACGCGAAGCCAATATGGAGTTTAGCGAAACCATTGCCGCGTGTTGTCCGTCCGGGGATGGTACCAACAAAAAACGAGCTGCTGGAGAACTGCGTCAACGCCGAGCTGCCCGCTGAAAACTCCCAAAATCTGGGGCTAGATGTCGATCCGAATGAGATTGAAAAGGGCCGCATTGAGAAATCGGCAGACGTGCGTAAAATGGGAGCACAAGTCACCGATGCCAGGCTTCAGCGAGAGAATAATTTTATAAAAACGATCCTGGCCGCGGATGCTGAGACAACATCAAATGGAGTTCCACAGCTTGTAAAAACGAGGTCAAGCCAAAGGCGAGCTACGATCCAACGCTCGTCAATCCAGAGCCCTCTGTATACTGTTCAAGAAGGCCTATCTGAACATACTTCAGAGCAAAATAAACACAGCCACGAGTCCCAACGGTCAGAACAGGGTGGAGAAGAATTTGACCCAGGCCAAGACGAGCTAATCGAAGGCAATCGTTCTCTTGAGACACTACGGCTTGACCAAGATGCATATCCAGAAGACCTCCACCCTTTGGTCCAGGAGTTGGTAGAGGATGAAATTCACAACAACCATACCGTTTGGTCTGTCATCCGCACTCACCACCGCGAAGCTTTAGCCGAGTCCCTAGCTGTTTTCGTTCAACTTACCGTTGGATTTTGCGCCGATCTTTCTGTCACTGTGGCTAAAGCCGGAAACCCCAATACGACTGACTGGGCTTGGGGATTTGCTACCATGATAGGGATATACATTTCTGGTGGTGTTTCCGGTGCCCATTTAAACCCTACAATTACTACAATGCTCTGGTTCTTTCGTGGGTTTCCCAAACGTAAGATGCCCGAGTACTTTTTGGCACAGTTTCTTGGAGCCTTTTGTGCGTGTTTTGTCGCATACGGAGTCTACTACGTCTCTATCAAACACTATCTCCTTACCGGCGCAGACGATGATATCATAAACTGCTTTGTCACAAGCCAGCGCAGCTCATACATCAACGCACCTACGGCCCTATTCAACGAATTTATAGGCACAATGTGTCTGACTATTGTTGTATTAGCTCTCGGCGACGATCAAAATGCCCCCCCTGGCGCTGGCATGAACTCGCTCATTATCGGCCTCATCATCACATGCCTCAGCATGAGCTTCGCTAACCAGACAGGCGCTGCGCTTAATCCGAGCCGCGATTTTGGCCCTCGCTTGGCTCTTTTGGCCCTGGGCTATACTTCCGAGCTGTTCACCAACCCTTACTGGTTCTATGGTCCCTGGGCGGGTACACTGCTGGGTTCATTCATGGGGGCGTTCCTTTACGATTTTATGATTTTCACTGGCGGCGAATCGCCAATCAATTATCCTTTAGAGCGGACACAGCGTGCGTTGCATAAAAGCCACATGAAGTGGCAGCGTCGGCTGCGGCTGACTCCCAAACAAGAAGAAGACACAGTTGTCTAGAGAGATAGGATATGAAATTATGATCTGGGGCATTCGAAAGATGAGAGAAATATGATATAAAGCGGTGATTTTTTGTATGAGTGGATGGATTGAATTGATATTAAGCAACCAACCTGGATGGCCATCACAGTCAACTCGATTCAGCCCTAGATTTAGATAGATTCAGTCTAAAGAGTTAGAAGTTGTTTTACTATTGAGTGGAAATAACTAGGTACAGGTAGTCTATGCTTACCAACTGCTTCTGATTTACCATCTGTAGCATATTCTGCTCATGCTTGAATATATAAGACTCTAACAGTTACGTTCTCATCCCCTAGTGTCTTTGCGTTGGTGAAATCTAATGAGAAGCTGCTATGTCCTGAGATAATGCCTGTGTAGTAGTAAAGTTATAGGTGGGTTTGTTAGAGATGATGCAATTACGTTTTGTTGGGATTCTGTATATTTTAATGGATATGGCTGTATGTGTTTGATCACGGAGGTAGTTGGCTTGAAATAAACAAATTGAAAAATACCATATATATGTAACAGCCGGTATTCACTGTTGATCACCTTGTCTATGAGGGAGCAGGCGAGATCTCTCATTCTCCAATGGATATGTTTTCTGTGAAGTTGTATATTTGAGTACAGTAGGATAATTGGAGGGGAATTGGAGGGGAATTGGAGGGGAAACGGAGGGGTAGTATGCTGTACAACCAGAGATACATGCACCTCGTCATCTAGATACTGGCCTGCCTCTTATTGGCTTGACTCTGAGGAGTCCTATTTCGGGTTGTATTTTTATAGGTTGGGCTCCAATGTCACCAGATTCAAGCTACACGCGCGCAAAAAAAGCCTCATATCGGTAGGCATCAGTGCTCTGTTTCTTGTAGCAGCGATGCGATTTGAAACATCAATCTCGCGATTTGATTAAACTGGCGCTACTCTCTCCACTCAGGGACCTATCGACGGAAGAACAGACCGTGACACCGTTGGAACAGAAAAGGTCTATTCTTTGGTACAACCGAACCAGCTTCTGGAAAACAGCTCTGCTTGATTTGCACGCGAATATGCTGAACCACGAAGAGTACACGATTGGGTGGATATGTGCTATAAGTACAGAGTAAGTTGCTGCACAAGCTTTTCTCGACGAGAAGCACGAGGGACCTGAATTTGTTTCCCCAAATGATAGCAACGATTATACACTCGGAAAGATTGGGAGGCATAATATTGTTATAGCTGTGCTTCCTGATGGAGAGTATGGTATAGCTTCTGCAGCCAGTGTCGCGAGAGACTTGCTACATAGCTTTCCAAACGTTAGAGTTGGGTTAATGGTGGGTATTGGCGGCGGGGCACCAAGTCAAAGGCATGATATCCGTCTAGGCGATATCGTGGTGAGTAGTCCGCGCCAAAGGTTCTGGCGGAGTATTCTACTATGACTTTGGAAAGACAATACAAGACCAGAGCTTCCAAACAACAGGATTTTTAAACCAACCACCAATGGTTCTACGAGCGGCAGTAAATGGGCTTAAGGCAAGTTGCGAGAGCGATGGCCATCACATCGAAGAGGCTATCAAAGAGATTTTAAACAATAAGCCAAGACTGAAGAAGAACTATATGCGACCGGATCCAAGCAATGATATACTATACAGGAGCGAAGTCGTTCATCCTCTACTTGACGATCAATTAACCTGCGAAACTGTCTGCGGCAACCAACCATCAAATTTAATACTACGGCCTGTACGAAATGATTACGAAGATAATCCAGCAATTCATTACGGGTTAATCGCTTCGGCTGACCAACTAATTGAGGACGCCACTATTCGAGATAAGCTTGCAATAGAGAAAAACGTTCTCTGTTTTGAGACAGAAGCAGCAAGTTTAATGAACCATTTCCCATGTTTAGTGATACGCGGTATATGCGATTACTCAGACTCACATAAAAATACAAAATGGCAAGGGTATGCGGCAATGGCAGCAGCTGCTTATGCAAAAGATTTACTTTATCGAATTCCTCCTACTAAGATTGAAGCTGAGAAGAGGATTCTTGATATTATTTCTGGTTTGTCTAAAGCATTTAAAATATTGTTCTGTTAAGCTACTAACCCTTAAAAAAACAGGTGTCCGGGAGGGCGTTGACAAGCTCCTTCATACACAACGTGTTAAAGAACAAGAAACTATTCTCAATTGGCTTTCACCAGTCAATTATACCCCTTTACAAATGGACTATATTAGGAAACGGCAGCCTGGAACTGGAAACTGGTTTCTAGAATCTGCAGAGTACCAAGCGTGGCTGAAGACTGACAAGCAAACGCTATTCTGCCCTGGTATTCCTGGAGCAGGGAAAACCATCATCACAGCTATTGTTATCGACGACCTTCACAAAGGGTTTCAGAATAACCTGAGTGTAGGCATCACCTACCTATACTGTGACTTTCGCCGGCGACACGAACAGACAATAGAAGACTTGCTTTTAAATTTAGTAAAGCAATTTGCTCGGCAGCACACTTTTGTACCCATTGAAATACAGCAACTCTATGAAAAGTGCAAAAAGGAAAACCGACAACCATCCTTCGATGAGATATCGCAGCTTCTTCATTCCGTCAGCAAACTCTACTCAAAGGCCATCATTGTTATTGGCGCATTAGATGAATGTCAATCCGATTTATGCCGAACAAGGCTTCTAACTGAGGTATTCAAACTTCAAGACAAGACGAGTGCAAATGTCTTCTTAACTGCAAGACTTATTCCTGGAATCCTGGAAATATTGAAAGAAAGCGTGTCGTTGGAGATTCGAGCTCAAGATGAGGATGTGCAAAGATACATAAAGGATCAGATAACACGGCTGCCGTCATTCGTCTTGAATAATTATGAATTACAAGATAAAATTAAGACAACTATATCCAAGGCCGTTGATGGGATGTATGCTTCTCTCTCTCTCTCTCTCTCTCTTATTTTTTTACGGGAAATGGAGGTTATAGACTAACTGCAGTCCTAGGTTCCTTCTTGCCCCGCTACATATGGAAGCCCTAGCTCGAGAGCCAACAACTGGATACATTGAAATAGCACTACATAGCTTGCCCGAAGGATTAGAAGCAGTATATAAACGAGCAATGATAAGAATTGAAAGTCTAGGGAAAAGTACCCAAGAACTAGCGAAGACAATTCTATCCTGGATTGTACATGCGAAAAGAACGCTCTCTATAAGTGAGCTCCAACACGCAGTTGCAGTCAAGCCCGGGGAGTCAGAGCTGAATTCGAAATTCATTCCAAGTATCGAGACTATAGGCACAATTTGTGCAGGCTTGATCACCATTGACATTCCAGGTAACACCGTTAGGTTGGTGCATTACACGACTCAAGAATACTTCGAAAGGACACATGAGATGTGGTTTCCAAACTCGAAGTCCAATATCAAGACAATCTGCATTACATACCTCTCGTTTAGCGCCTTTGAGAGTGGATATTGTTCGACAGACGCCGAATTCCAGGAGCGACTGCGGTCAAATCCCTTTTACAACTATGCAGCATGCAATTGGGGGCACTTTGCACGTGAGACTTCGATATGTGGCCAGGAGACCATAAAATTTCTCAAATGTGATGCGAAAGTGGAGGCTTCCAGTCAGGCGCTGATGAAAACCAGACTGGTCCCCGGAGATTCAAAAGGAAGTTATTATTTTCCGAAGGGCATGAGGGGTTTACATTTGACGGCATATTTCGGGATTGAAGAAGCGGCAAAGGCTCTACTTGACAGCTATCATCCCAATGGTCATGATAGCTTTGGACGGACACCGTTATCGTATGCAGCAGAAAATGGAAATGAGTCTGTGGCGCGGCTGTTGCTTGCTACAGGCAGAGTCAGCATCAACTACAAGGATAGAGATGAAGAGACACCTCTATCGCGGTCGTTGAAAAATGGCCATGAAGCGATGGTCAAGCTATTACTCGCACAAAACGGTATCGACCCGAACCCGAAGAGACTCAGCGGTACGGATTTCTATGGCCAAGATCGGACACCATTATCATTTGCCGCAGAAAGTGGGAATACGGCAGCAGTCAAGAAACTGCTCGCAACGAAGGGTGTTGACATAAACATCAAGGCCAGGACTAGTTATGGAGATCATGGACGGACTCCTTTGTCGTACGCAGCAGGGGAGGGGCATGAAGAAGTGGTTAAGTTGCTGCTTGCGATGGATAATATTGATCCAGATCTCGGGACAAGTCGTCGCTACAAAACTACGAACCGTACGCCTTTGTCATTTGCGGCACAGAGTGGGCACACATCGGTGGTTAAGCTGCTGCTTGGATGCTCAGCGGTTGACCCAGACTCTAGAGCGGGTGGGGAGCGCACTCACAGTCGCACGCCGCTGTCGTATGCCGCAGAAAATGGGCACGAAGCTATAGTGCGGTTATTACTCGCAACCGGAAAGATTGACGTCAATATTGAGGCCGGAGGAGAGTATAATACTGGACGGACAGCGCTATCATATGCGGCAGAGAAAGGGCATGAGGCAGTAGTCGCTCTGTTACTCGCAACGAAGAACATAAACTCCAAATGTAGAGGCAGCCCGTGCAGTCACAGTGGGCGAACCGGACGGACTGCGCTATCATATGCGGCATGCGAAGGGCATGCAGAGGTGATGCGCCTGCTCCTCACCATAGATGGAATTGATGTGAATTCTAAGGATTTCACCGGGAGAACAGCCTTATCCCTTGCGGCAGAGAATGGCCATGAGCCGGTGGTGCGCCTACTCCTTAGGGTGGACGGAGTGGACGTGAACTCTAGGAACAACCACGGAGAGACAGCCTTATCACTTGCGGTAAAGAACGGCCATAAGGCGGTGGTACGCCTACTCCGCAGAGTGGACGGAGTGGACTTGAGCTCTAAGGATAACGGCGGACAGGCATTCTTATCACTTGCGATAGAGGAGCTCATGAGCCGGTGGTGAGATTACTTCTTTCAGCAGACGGAGTCAACTTAAGCCCTGAGGATCACCACGTATAGATACATAATTTTATCACCTATATATGAGAAGGAGGCCTGTTTTGCTGAGTATTGGATCCCTTTCGTGATGTTGATAAATTGTCGCCGCGGTGGGTTGGGCTGAGAATTACACAGAATAAAGATGGGATTATTGACAATGGAGATGGTCAAGCATTCGATATGGTCTTGGTGCTTACTTGGTAGTCTCAGCCCTCAAAATAGCAGAAATATTGACTGGACTACCTCGCGTGCTCAATCATATATAATAGAACCATGTTGCATCTTCAAGCACATTCGACCATAGGTAGTGGAGAATTTGGGGTCCCATTAGGTTCTTCTTATTGTTCAATATCCTATATATACGGCTATATAGACCACTGACTTTGCAACCATTTTCTTCCACTTCTAGAAGCCTGTTCTATTCCCCCCTGCATAGAGATCCCCTTTGCGTTTCCTTCGTGGTTGCATTTGAAACTTCGGCACTTTTGCCTCGCGGCAATTGTTAAGCAGCTTTGGCACTTTCTGTTGTTTGTGGCTATACTAGACGCATAAAAGGGGGACTGGCGACCTGAAGAAGTGAGACCGAATACAATTCGAGTAAATTCGAGCGTTCGATGCTAGACCTCCGCAAGTATTGCAATCCACACAGCTCTTTTACAATAACAGAACAGGCAAAGCTTAACTATCGTGGAATCTTTCATACTTACTCCTGGAATTCAGCCTGGACCTCAGATTTGATTACGCCTACACACTATATAACCGAACTGTCTTGGATTAGAAATCGTCCATGGCAAAATCCCGAAGCGTAGTTGGGTTCAATACGCCGATGTGCTTATTATCATCTTTTCTACTCCGTAGAATGAGATGTAGCTAAAAAGTTAGTTCTGGTCGGGAATATGCTTAAAACCATCTGTGGTGAGTATGTCTTACAGGATCATATTATTTAAAAAAGTATTATGGAAATCTCTTCCGTTAGTACCGTGTTTGCCGGTCTCCTCGAGTCTACATTACCATCAGTTTCACCCTAATGCCCACGAATGCGAGCCAGTAATTCGTACGAGTAGACTCTTATGCCACCACTGCTAGAAGACAACAGAACATGCTGCACAACAGAACCAACCGTACAGGCATGTACTTATCGCAGCGTTATTTGGCCACCTCATTTTCATCGGGCATTATATCTTTCAATAGTCTGAAGAGTTTGAGTGCCTTTACTATTTGCACTCCCTGTGCAATAGCCTTGAGTCCTCACATTTGTTGTGCCCTTGAGTTTCAAGGTTACTAAGCAGGCGGCAAAACCTCGTTACAAAAGGCCAAGTTACATATGTACGTATATTGATGCCCAAAACAGAGAGGTCTAGAGAAACCTGGAACTGTGAGGCTGCTCTCCCCTCACCTCGAGGCGCTTTAGCTGCCCAATCGTTCAATGTTCGACCCCTGATCAACGCAGAGCTGATCCATCTATTTTCCCTCTTATAGCAAAAAGGACAAAAGTTCAAGTCACAAAACTATCCAACTTCGGAGCGCCTTAATCAATATTCATGCTTGTACTTCAGTCAACGAGTGTCGATCCCAGTGACGACGGTTTGGGCAGGGCCCTCGGCAACATCCAAGAAATGGCCAAACAGATCATATGCTTCTCTGAGGATATGGAATATGTGCCTGATAACTCAGATTTGATGAGGCTACCAGAAACGCTGCTACCTAGTCCCTTGACACTTAATCTTCTGCTTCACAATGATGAAAATATGGTCTGTATATATATCTGATAATTAGAAGATAAACTTAAGCTTACAAGATGTAAAGCAAGAGGCTATATACAGATTAGCCGATCAGAAGGGATTTGTTATCAACCTAAATGAGATATATTTGGGGCCGCAAATAATGTGGATTCAACGCGGTGGTATATTAACTCCGGCAGACCGACTTTCCCTTTTCGTAATCTTAAGACAGCCGAAGAGTAAAGTCGCTGATCCTGAAACTATACACTCTATACCTGAACCAGAGTTTAGAGGCTCAATTCGAATACCAGTGGGCCAAGGGTTAGGGCAGTATGTTCAGTCAAACTTTGAATGTCAGGTTGGCGATGTTATCATTCTTGAGGGAGGAGAACGGCTCTTGTTTGAGCCTTACAACGTTTGTGTACTCGCAACCTTATACAAGATCGAGAGGAAGCATAATAGCAACTTCCAGAAATAGCTCATATATTATGATTTCTTATTAGGGTTGGTGGCGGTAAAACAACGTTCAATGTTAGAATAAGGAATGTCTTGAGGAACTGAGCTTTGTAAAGAGAACGCATTCCACCTTTCCTCTAATAGACTCATACTGACTTCCATAATAAACAAGTTGCCGCCTGAGAGAGGGTAACAGGACGGTTCAAATCTCAGATATGCAAGCTGGGGAAGCCCAATGATTTGACAGATCTTAGAATACCTGTTGACTTAGTTCTAGACCTTAAAGACGAGAGGATATAACTTACTGGACTGTTGGAAATAACATACTAAGCCACAGTCCTGGGAATGGTATCAAAGAAGAGGGCGTAAGGGTAGGTATCTGTCCATGAAGATCCTTTGCGACTAAATCACTGACGCGTTCTATGCCTTTAGATGTGAGCTCCGACGGCTTGCTTAACTTGCTGCCTGATTCTGGAGTCTGTTAGCTTGACTTATAATAGTATCGGTATAACCATGCCATCCTACCTGCAAGTGCACTATACACCCCCACTGCTACTATACCATCAGACTTCAGCAGCTTATCGACAATGAGGTTTGCCGCTTTTGCTCCCTGAAACGGCTTATGCTTGCGATGGGGATGTTTGTTCCAAGGAAGGACCTCTTCAATAACCATTTGTAAGCAACAGCGAAAAAACCAAGGGGTCCACCATTTTCCGTTATCTTTATCCTTTCGATAACGAGTTTCCATCTCTAAAAGAGCATTCATAATTTGATTCAAGTCATAATTATTGCCATCGTGGGGCACCAAGAACTTAAAGGCTGCGTGATCATCATTCACTTCTTGTCCAGATTTTACTCTGTTCATTTGTCCTTTCTGAATCCTCTTGACCAACCCCTTGGCGATTGGCTCTGGTTTATTCCGGCCCCGGTCTTGCTTGCGTGTGATTCTCGCGTGTCCTGGCTCGCTTACATCGCGTCCCATACCTTCGCTACCGACTTCACTGTCAGAGCCATCGAGGGGAATAGAGCGGGTGGATACGCGAGTGGTAATCTTATTGCATGCGTCGCTTAGGGAGGGGGTTGAGGGAGTAGAAGGAAAAGTGCCCACTGCTTCGCGCGGTATACACTTAAGACTACAGTTATTAGCAAGCAAGCCAGATGGGCTAAGCGATAAAGGCGTAATAATACATATCTCCATCTAGTTCCAGTCTAATTACATTTATATATGTGTCGTAAATAAGCTGGGCTGCCTCAATAACCTGGTCTAAGCGTATGTTATTGTCGGATGGTGTATAAATTGCTTTTACTTTAAACAGAGTATGCTCTATATCGGCGTGGCGAAATGGGGTGATGTAAAACTCGACTGTTGCATAGCTTCCTTGATCGAATGGAAGTTTGAAAAAGAAGATGTTTTGTTTTCCTGAAACAATATTGACGCGAGGTGCCTGGTCATTTGCGAGGATCGGAGCTTGGCGCACGTCGTCGTCTGTTATCTGGTGAACATAAACATCATCCATGACCACTGACAGCATCAAAGAGCGTTGAGGGTGCCCACTCTATAGTTGTCGAGAGACTTAGCGGGCACTGCCAGGAGAAAACAGCGGGCCTTCTGGGTATCCTTTGAGGCTCCAAGGTTGTGTTGCTTCCATAATAACTTGTGATCTCGTGCGGCACGGCTCAGAGCGAGACGCGGCACGGCATCGCCGAGAGAGTACTAGCGTTGGTACATGCAGATATGCAACATTCTCACCCCCTCATCATCCTCACACGAAATCCTGAATCTGGAGTTGTGGTTTCAGCCTTTGCTGCCCACTCTGGGATCAATCTTATGAGCAGCTTTGCATTTGAAGTCTATCACATACGACCATAGGTAGAGGAGAATTCGGGGTCCCGTCTGCTCCCCCATAGACAAGCCTCTAACCGGCAGATTAGTAGTTGAGTGGGTGACCATCAGCGAACACCGGCTGTTGTATGTTTTTGCCTTTTTGATATCCCGAGTTAGCTAACCCTGTTAAACCGGATTGCATCTGAGATCAAGCACATACGACCATATCCATGAGAATATACGGGATCCCGTCCGCTCTCCCAGAGTCAAGCTAATGAGAGGCAGATTAGTAGTTGAGTGGGTGACCATCAGCGAACACCGGCTGTTGTATGTATTTCGTTTTCCCTTTTTGCTGTCTGGTGTTTGATCGTAATATCTAATAATGTACAGTTAACTACATGTAATTAGGCATTGCTCATATGCATGGACAATGACACTAGACGGATGCCTTGCTCCGAATTCATCACGCTGTTCTTCCACTTTCCAGTTATACCCGTTAACAATAGCAAGCCGCCCTATTTGAGCAGAAGCAGTTTCAAGCAGATTAACCAATGCCTTTATTAGCCTTTGTTCATGGTTTACCTTTGTGCTAGATTTGTATTGATCCACAAGATCTAGGACAATCCACACCGGGTTGTTCTGGTTCATTATCTTCAGTATTCCAAGAGCTGCCTTTCGGAGGAGCGTATCAGGTATTCCTCTGCAATCATGTAAAAGAGAGCTAGCAATAATCTTGCCATAGGTATTTAATAATGACTGATGCCCGTTCTCTCAGCATGGATACTTTAAATGTATGTCGTCATTGCCGTATTTAGCGATATGTATGGTATAAATATACATTGCCATCTTGCAATAAAACGAGACGGTTTCGCTCGGTATAGTGGTGTATGGTCACTAACCACTCCAACTCAATTACTTTTGCGAGACTCCAGAGTAGACCCCTGCGTAGCGCAATTATTTAATATGTCTCCTTTATCGTCCTTGACTCTGCTGGTCTTGGAGTCTACACATTCATCCAAACCTATTATGCATTCCATTGGTACCCATGGATCTTCATTCCTTGACTGTGATAACCATGTCTGAAGCTGGTAGTCATCTGAGACTTGAGCCGATTGTTGCTGTGAAGCTGTTCTGGACATAAGTCTAGAGAACGATGACACAAGAACCCAATTGAACATACCGATCTTCTCAGTGCCTGAGTTTTGAGTCATCATAAAAAACTGTGAATTAAATCTGTTGGTGCAGATGGTAAGGCAAGGTACCAAAAATGGTTTCTGCAATAACATATGCGTCTAGATATATGAAAGAGTATTAAAGGATTGCTGTATATCAATTATTCTACACAAAGTTTATTATAGCCATTAAATCCATACCAGCACCAGGTTTATATAACTGATGTGCTCTTAGTTCTTTAATAATACGTTAGAACATGAACTTTATGGGCAAAACTCTAGGCGCCATACCATTTTTCGCATTGACATCGAACGAGGGCCATTTTCTTGACTGGAAGTTGGAGAAGATATTAGATTGCTTGTAGCGAATAGGTACGATATTCTGCAATTGCAAGTACCGACTCTGACCCGCCAGTCAAGAAATTGGCCCTTGAATCTGACGGTTAGGAAATGCCACTACCTTGTATTTTTCACGGTCCCAATTGGCCTAAAGTGCCATAGTGGTGAGTACATCGGGGGGAGATCAGCGCATGTTCTCTAGTTGACTGGCCACTCAGATAAAAGGCCCTCGTCCAAGCAGCTAACTCACGATGCAGCCAGCGCACAAAGTTGCGTTACACTTGTAACCTCTTAATATACAAATAATTGCTGCCTAATTCAGCCTCACAAACGAAATACACCCTGCACGAGCCAATACGCATAAACGGGCATGTAGAAATTGACCAATCAGATAAACGGCCCTCATACCAGTGCCGAGCCACAAGGCAGCGAATCAGCAAAACGGCCCCTCTTTCGAGCGCCTCAGCCCATGAGAACGCAACTGATATATAGATACCGGTTAATTTTCAACTCTTGTTTCTCTTTTCTGTTCATTGCTGGCCTGCTGGGCGCCTTGGGGGTCACCCATCGTGGGAACTGCATTGGTGAGTCGCATCTAATGCACCTCAACTTACTGGTTGTACATTTTACTATGGAAATTTCGTTTGACTGATCTCGAGTCCTGCCAGGTTCTCTCACACTTATAAATCACCCCTCAGCTCCATGCCTGTGATGTATGGGAATTCTTATCATCATCCTTAAAATATTTTCTTCCTGCTTGTTCTTGCGCCGGACTTCCCGGCGCGCCGAACATTCAGGGTCACCATGACGATCACCACATAGAGCGCGTAGACGCCGATGAACACAATCTCAAATGGTACCTTGACTTAATAGACACAACCGGATCTAACAAGCATTTTGGGGCTTCCGAACTGTGGAGTGGTATGTGCGAACAATCGCCTGCTGCCGCCGATCGCGATGTTATTACCCCTGCTTTTGGTGATGGCCTCGACTTACTCTCAGAGCCATCGATTTCTACTGGCTATTCATTCAATTTCATAAACGGAACTCCGTCTTCGCCTGGAACAGATACATGCCCATTACTGTCAACAGCCTCTGAAGATCCAGGCCCACAAACCGCAGAAAGCCTGAGTTCCGCATCCCCAGCAACCTCAGTCCACACGTCGCCGCCTGACTTATCCTTCTTCTACACCTGCGATTTCTGCCACGACACATTTTTCAGCTCAAGCCAACTTATAGATCACATTGAGCTAGAACACCGACAAGGCAGATACTACTACTGCAGGACTTGCAATGTCGACTTTAGACTGAAGAAAGACTTTCGTCGGCATCTTGAAACCACAAAGTCCCATCAGTTATCAGTCATTTAGTGTCGCTGCAAGAAACTATTCCGAAAGGATAAGTTTCGCAATCATCTTCTTCAACGGAAGAAGCCCTGCGATACCATTGTACATTTTCTCTGCTATTGTGGGCATAGCGTTGACAGCAGTGCACTGGATGCAATCTCAAGGATAGTACGACATATCAGCGACTGTGGACGGGGTCGGCCAGGTCGACCAAAGAAATGAATGACTTCCATGTAAGAATGGATGGTTAAGAGGAGGAATTGCACAAGAGATGACTATCGCGGGACAAATGATGGCGTTTATGTCATGACTATTATGGATTGGTCGTGACAGACTGGGTGGGAAATCTGTTTTTATTCTTTTTTTTTTTACAGGTCATCACTATTTAGTGATGAGCTGTGCGAATACTCATCTTGAGTGCGAGAAGTCTGCGTCTATGCTTCTTGGTTAATATTTGGTGGTTCTTCGGTCGATACAACCCAGTTGTTGGATGATCTGTAAAATAGGTAGTTGATGTTGACCAGTCCGTGTCTTGATTACCTGCTTGGAAACAGCGCCTTTGGGCCCGGGTAATGCCTCGCCGACTCTCAACGTACCGACATACCAGGTTTTTTTCTTTCCCTTTTTTCTTTTATTATAGATACTCGGAATATCGCGGATTATGCTTTAGTATATCATGGGCCCTTGGTTTTCGATTTTCTTTGTTTTTTATGTATATCTGAAAATATACAACCTTAACTTGCGACACTCTTATCAACACAGATTAAGCCGTTCAATCTCTGTTTCAAAGTTGCAGCCTCTTTCATCTCCTACTCTAAGCCCGCCGGGGGAACTATTTCATACTTGAAGGGGAGCTAAATCAAGGCCTTATTATGTACTTCTTACCCTCAAAGAGGGCAAAGCCTAGGCTACGACGGCGATGCCTGCTGCATCGAGTATCCGCCCTCATAATCACGCTCTGGAGCTTTCATCTAGCACGAATCATGCCTTGACTTCTTGCTTTTTGCTAGATCCACAGGCTCCCTTCCCTCAACAGGATTGGGTAGTGACTCGGTGACAAGACAGTGTAACTCCATACTTGTAGAAATTAATTCTTTGCGTCTATCTTGCTACTAGTGCTTCTAGTTGGTTTTTGCGAGTTCTTGTACTAGGTACCGCAAATCTTCGCATTTCAGTGTGGCAACCCCTGCGTCATTTTACCTCTACCTCGGATAGCAGGGCCCTTCCATAGTAAGACGATGGGAGCAAGCGTCAGGGCCAGAGCAACGAACCCAAGTAGGCTACTGGCCCACTGGTATCCCAAGTCCTCGTACATGGCCTTGGTGGCCAGGGGCAAGAAAGCCGCGAACAAGTTCTCACCAAACGCAATGGCGCCGATGGCACTGGCGGCAAACCCGGCATACGAATGGGTAATGTAAATTGTGACAGCCGTCACAATTACCATGCTTGCGTAACCAATCAGCACCAGTGCCAGGGCGGTAATAACCCAATGGGCCTGGAAGATGCTCCAGCCATACATGAACAGGCCACCGGATAATGCTATCGCCGTGCTCGGAATGGAGAGATACAATATGGATTCTGGAACCGGGTCGTGCTGCTCCGGGCTTTCCTCCCCATCCACGGCGCCAGGAATGCCGTGCCTAGCGCTTCTCACGTATACGTGGTTCTGATAGAGGCAAGCCGCAAAGCCAACAATCTCCCCAATGGCGATGGCGGACTGGACCAAGCCACTGCTGTAGGAACTCCAACCATATGCCCGGGCGAACACGAGAGGGACCGACTGGGTCGAGATGAAGACGAGGCCGAACGCAAAAGAGGACCATAGTGTAAACGAGGTGATTGTTGGCTCGACCACCAAGAATTTGGCAGAGCGTGTAATGGTCTCTTTAAGCATTTTGACGGTGCTTTCATCCTCAGACAATTTGGCCTGGGCAGCGGATTCCGTCTTTGACAATATCTGGGCTAGAATGACAGAGCCTCGGGTCTCCTCAGTCATGAAAGCAACAACCGGCAAGGTCGCTCCACATATGATGAGCTGAATCCAGAAAATCCTAGCCACATCATATCAGAACCAGCCAGTCACAGAATGGAAGGGTCAGGGTTAGGCACGTATGAAGCCTGGGGATCCAAACTCACCATCGCCAATTCAGATGCTCAAAAACAGCACCGAGCACGGGACCCATGGTCACGCCTGTGAGTAAGGCCAGGATATAAAGGGTTAAAGGCAAAGCTCGCTCATGATGATGGGGAAACACATTGGCTATAATGCCATCGGCCGCATTTTGTACTGTGCCGCCAAACGCGCCGGCAAGGACACGGCTCACCAAAAGGGTTGCGAAGTTCTGTGCTAGTGCCTGCGGAATGATGAAGATGGTGAAGAGCACATAACAGGTCTGCATCACGCGTTAGAACAATGAGGCACCGTATATCAAGCTGGTAGCAGATGGTCAAACACATATAGTGCATCTAGATTAGTTGCCATACCAAATATCCAATCCTAGTGCCGTACGTGTCCATGAGAGGAAGCGTGACGAGGGGTACAAATGCGGCAGCGGCATTCCATGCCACGACAGCAAAGAAATTGACCTCGAGCCGGTGATCTGGGAGGTGGAACTGGCGAGAAATGACTTGGGCGGCCGTGGTGATGGATGTCGCATTGAGGCCGATGATGAAGGTTACCCAGCACGCCACGGCGATTGTCGTCCACTTTCGGCGCCGGGCCCAATTAAACGGGTTCCTCGCATCTCGATGCCAGTCGAAATGCGACTGATGCATGGAGTTCATGGTCGGGGTGGGTTTTAATTCATCCCGTCCATCATCATGGATTTCGCTTGGCTGGATCTGTGCGTTTGAAGTTGCTCTAAGCTGAAGAACGAAAAGATTCAATATTCTGGAGAGATTCCGGGGTTTACGCGAGCGGCGCGAAGCTTGGCTAGGAATACAAGAAGATTATTGCTTCTCCCACTAACCTTCTCCATGAGTTAACCGTCAGTTGTAGAGGCTATTCGTTGGTCACCAAAGTTATGGTGATGGCATCACAATCGCCCTTGGATATGGGCGCCTGCCAACCGAGAGTAAGACTTGTTGATTAAGCGGAAATGTTAAGGTAAGAAGATGCAAGGCCCTTTAATAATATGATGATGTAATGATAGAAGTTGGAAGATTCTTAAAGCGCCTGACGCTTATATTGTATATGCTGAGTCTTAAGTGTAAAGATATTAAATATCGACTTTTACTTGGCAAAGTGATACTTGCTATATTAAAGGCATGCAAGATCCATTGTGCTCTATACGCTGTATACGCTGTATACGCTGTATACGCTGTATACGCTGCATACGCTGTGTACGCTGTATACGCCGGTGCCGCGGATTCCTGCAGCTTATGATACGCCACTAGCTTTACGAAGGTTGGCATGGGAAGAAATGGAGGCTCCTCTTCGACCAGGTGCCCCGGCCACACAGGATTAGCAACTTACTAGTTGAGCAGCTAGCGTTAGTCTTACTTCAAGCAGTCAACACCAGATACAACATGCCGTACTGTAGAGTGAGTGACTCCAAGCTTCCTCGAGGGTGATGGCTGATCGGCCCTGATCAGCTTGCCTTGCCATAAGCGTTCTGGCGCCCACTGTCTTCAACCAACTCGGCGCGGTGCGGAGCAGGTGGCCGGCCTTGTTGCGAGATCTAGACTATCGTTGAAGCTCGGCGAAGCCTGAGTGTCCCGATTTCGGCAGCCACAGACCCAAAACTCAAGCTTCTTTAGCGATTCGTAGCTACTCGCACAGTCCTAACCGAGATTCAATGGCATCAGAGTCGCCCTCTCACACGGCTAACGCCAGTCCAGATGTGCTATCCACGAGTGCCCTCGGTGCCCGAAAGCAGCGGATGCGGCGCAAAGTCTCGCGCACAAGAGCTGGCTGCGTGACCTGTAAATCTCGGAGGAAGCGTTGTGATATGGCCAAGCCATGCTGTGGAGACTGTACAAGATTGAACCTGGTGGGGTTACATACCATCGTCCAGGCATCTCACTCAACTCACAGCTTCTTTAGGAATGCGAATGGCCCCTGGTGAAGAGAATCGCCAAGACTAAGGACGGCATCGTTCACGTAGAGCGAGATTTGTCACCACGTGTCGGGTCAGTACCTGAAGAGCGGGGATTGTCATCAGGAGTGGCGAGTCATCTGGGAACCTCTGTTGCTGGGCCCGGCCTTGACAGTCTTTCGACGTCGACTTGGCATTCAGGCTGGCCTCATACTCGAGCCGATGATGTGCCTCAAGATCTGTTCGGAGGCAATCTCTTCCCTCCCCAATTTAATCCCATCGACGATGTGAGTGACAAGGTCCTCCCTTGAAACCGCATCATGCTGAGACTGAGATTGAGGCTATCTTACAACTCTGGGCGGAGACTTGTGCCCCTTTCCTCTCTGACGACACTGGCCAAGCTGTCTCTAGCGGCCATCTGCTATCAGCTCTGCCCCAGTCAGCTACAACATCTGGCAGTGTGCCCAACGCCAGCGATACGATGTCATCTATTCTAGGCGACTCCTCCAGCACATTGCCAGATGGCGCCACTCAAGCCCAGATCCTGCAATACTTTCGCCATCGGCTGGCTAGTCTCCTATCATATGACGAGGTCCTTTTCCCGAACGCTTTCCACGCCTTCAACGCTACGGCCTCCGCTAACATCGGAAGTTCTGCTGGGAGAGCGCTGCATTGTGGCATCCTAGCTCTGGCATCAAGACACATGTTCAACAAGGGTCAACTATGCTATGAGCGAATCAGTGAACAACTTGGTGTCGAGGGCTCGGCAATCATCCTGCAGAGGTTGAAGGACATACCCAGGGTCGAGGATACCGCCGAAGAAGAATCGGTCACTCTCCTTGCCGGACTGCTCATGTTTATCATGTACAAAGTATGTCTTAGGCTCGCCCTATCATGAGAACGTATACTCACGTCCCGTCTTAGATCTGCCGAGGCGATGTTTGGGGTTTCCAAAGCTACTTCACACAGCTAAAGCGGCTGTGTGAGGTACTCTTCACCCTCGGACAAGCGCCGAAAGGCTTGAGTAACACTAAATTCTCTTTGTATGTCTTAACTTTCCGCTAGTTAACATACTGACTAGTTATTTCAGCTTGGAAAACGTCATGTATCATGACTCTTACGTGAGTCAGGCATTTCCCATGAGATTGAACAATACTGAGATCATTCACACTTAGGGCTGCTCGTTGTATGCTCATGGTCCCATGATTGACCCTGAAATCTCGACGGCATATGCGAATACGCAAAGAGGAATCCCACACGCTCTGACTGGATTGGCTCTTCCATTATACTGCATCGTGCCGCGTATCGCGAAGCTGGTTAATCAGAGCTGGGCTCACTGTAATACCATATGGACTGATCGGGAACTGAGCGAAATTGTCAGCATGGCGGAAGATCTCGAGGCAACTCTTGAGAAGGAGAGGATCTGGCTGGAGAACCTCGTCCGAGGTGCGTCTGTGACTCCGGTTGTGGTTGTAATCTTACTAATGCCTTCGCTAGACCGACCAGACATGGCCAGTCATCGATATTTTCACGATGCCTTTCGCATAGCTTGCCTTCTACAAATCAAGTGTTTTGTCCTTCGTCAGCCACCTGACGCTCTTTCTGTGCGTTTACTGGTCCGCAATGCACTTTCATTGCTTGAGACAATGGAGAGCTTGAATCTGCCCGGCTTCGTGTCATCTCACTGGATCATCTTCACTGTGTCGATCTGCTCGACACTGCCTCATGATAATCGCCCAGACACTATTCCCACTAATCGCGGCGGTTCAAGCGAATCGAATGTTAGTGACCGACAGAGAGCTAGCGAGCTATATGCAACTGCTATGTGAGTCCTACCCTTGCCAGCTATGTGCTGTCGTCTAATCCTTGGGTACCTGACAGTGACAAGCTGGCGTTTCTTAACATGTCTCGATCAAGACAGATCGTGCAAAGGCTATGGGATCAGAACCAAGGTGGACGCCTTTTCGTCCACTGGTTAGATATATTGGCAGACTTTGACTGGGAGATAATATTTGCTTGAAATCTGTCGAGCTGGCGCTATTTCCCATCTCCAAATTTGAGTTAAAGCAATTACAGTTGTGCGTGATTTATTTCCTTCATTAAAGCAGGCGGTGGCTGCCGAGTTCCGAGAGTCTCCCAAGCACTCATTATCTGGAACAACTTTTTCTCTTGATGCTTGCTAGCAGTCATGCTAACACCGAATGGTCGCCCATTTAGGTCCAAAACACCCAAAGGCATTGTGGCGATGGGATAGCCTCAAGGGATGTTTAGCTTTGGTTGGATACCGTCAGACTTGGAGAAACCTACCGGCGGCAGAAGCAACGCTCGATAAAGGACTGTCAGCTAATGACGCGACGGCATCAAGCTTAAACAAGTTGAGGATTTGATCGATTCCGTCGGGTCCGGCAAGCTTGCGAAGAAAGGCCAGAGTCTCGGCATTTTCGGCGGGAGAGATATTACATTGTAACGCGTTCTCGAGGCTTGACTGTGATGGATGTTCTGTTGATGTGTCAGGATAAAAAGTAATGGTGAACTTCATCATGTACGCGCACCTTTGGGGAGTTCTCTGTCGGCGTGCTGGCGATTCCAGTCGACAAGTTCCTTTAGGTTGCTGACTTGAGATGAATCTAGAGTTTCAAGATAGCAATTGAAGGCTTGCTGAAACTCGTAGGCTCCAAACTTTGTTAGAGTTGGCAAATAGGGCATCTCGGGGTTTGCTAAGCAACCTACACATGATGTCTCCAATCCCAGGCCAAACTTTATCGCCGGGAGGAAGCAGGACCGGGTACTCGATGTGGACGCCGGCATTAGATAGAATCTTCATTACTGAGTGGTATTCTTTTCTCTGTAACAATGTTAGGGCAATGTGATATCGAGGAATAGTGGATTTACCATCTGAAAGAGCGCCTCATCGTTATCTTTGCAAAGACCTTCTGGTAACTTCCAAATCTTCTCATCTACAAATCCAATTCTTAGCCCGTCCCATTTTTGTGTCATGAACTGCGACAGTCTTTCGTCGTGATTCGGTCCTGTGGCTTGCAACATCTCGATGACCACGGCGAGGTCAGCTGGGGACCTAGCCATAGCACCGACAGAGTCTAAGCTCTTTGTCACTGGAATTACTCCATCCATGGAAACGGTTCCAATGGTCGGTTTCATAGCATAGAGCGCGGCACGGGAGGCTGGAGATACAATAGATCCGTCTGTTTCGACACCGAGAGACACGATGCCAAACCCAGCAGAGACACCGACGGCAGATCCTGAAGATGATCCGGCAGGTGTCAAAGAAAGAAGTCAATGAATTGGCTCGCCCACGGAAGGATGGAGAGGCTTACTGAGTGGCCCATTGCTCCCTCATCCAATTTGAGAGGCCCCCTGACATACGCTGAGCGGGTATAGCCGTTGACGGGAGACCATCCATCAATGAGATCTTGGCCTTTGAAGTTGTTCAATTCCTGCAGTATCACCGTCAGTCGAACGCTTGTGGAGAGAGAATGACAATACACGTACTGTCAAGCTAGCCTTGCCAATGAGGATGCCACCAGCATCAAGAAGCTATATTAAGCATGAGACGAAATTAGCCATTTCCCCTTTCGATAATGGCGCTTAGTAGTTCTACATACCTTCTGTACTGTAGGGGCGTTCCTAGGCGGCCGAGAGCCGACAAGAGCCCAACTCCCAGCCGTTGTCTCCATGCCTAACTGAGGATCGGTCGCGATTGCATCCTAAGGGGTTGGTTAGCACAAACGGAGATGATACTGTAAGAAATCTTGCACCTTCACGATGAATGGAATACTATGGAGCGGGCTTCGAGCCTTTCCGGCGGCACGTTCTTCGTCGAGAAATCGCGCTCGCTCTAGGAGCTGCTGTCTTGGAGCGACAGAGATCAAGGCACCTAGATTGAGTCCATTTTTATTGTGCCTGTTGACCTGATCCAAGACTTGCTTTACCAGCGACTCCGCATTGAGTTCGGAACGGTCGAACAGTTGTTGAATGTCGTGAGCGGTTGAGGCAAGGAGGTTGAATGGTTTTAGCGCCATGGATTCTTCCTGGGACAATGAAATGCGACCGCTAGGGCAAGAACACTGAGGCAGAGGGCAAATGTTTCGATCGTAAGGTAGCTGTTGTTTCTGAAATTTCGCGCTGGACGGTCGGCCACAGCTCCAGAGCGGTGAGAGGAACTGAAGGAACTTCATGCAGTCACTGGAAGAGTGGGGAGAGAGCAGTCAGGATCGCTTTGAGATAGGAGGTGGAGGGACAGCGCCACAGGCCGGACAGGCAGGAAGGGTTGGGGGAATCGACTTGGGGGAATCGGTTGGTTCCTTTCATCATTCCAGCGGGATGGGGAAATGAGTATGAGGCCACAACGGAATGAGGCCCGTGCAATGCAATTGCTTCGTTAGATCGTTTTTGCTGAACATCATGCCTCTAACTTTACATTGCTTCTCGAAAATTATATTAGGGCTGGGTAATATGTAATTCGACTAAATCCATCTTGGAGGGGTCCAGATATTCCAGGAATCCGAAACCAGACTTTAAAGTCCCCTAGTACTCAATCAATTTTAAAGGTGTCATATGTGACGAATCAGGTTCCTATAGTATAAAAGCTTAGACTTATATGGCCAATTGCTGCCCTACAGGCGGTTATTATATATATATATATATATATATACTGATTTGCACTGTTAATCTACCGCATACGATCATAGGTAATGGGAAATTCAGGGCCCTGTTAAGCACTTCTCTTAAGTATAATGTCATTTATTTTTTACATCCTATAGTCGCTGCAAATTTTAACATCGAATAACTCCATTAAATAGGTTTGCCACACTCTGAAAATGCTATGGCCCATTATATAAAATTCTCTATCGAATAATACATACAACGCCTTATTTTATTATAAAAACTCCCAATGAACTCTAGTCCAACTCTATCGATAAACTCAACTACAACTGCACTAGCGCATTGGTGTAATTTCCTATGAAATGTACTATAATACCTACCGCATATGTGATAGGCATTAAGTTGGTAGAAAGCATTGATTGCTATTAGTCTTGTATAAAGAGAAACCCTCTGTTTGGGCTTGACCAATATGAGCATGAGATGTAGAAATGTATTGCCCTCAGCTTTTAAGAGATCTGGAAGGTTCTAGCGCACAATGGCCTTTGACTTGAGTCCGTGGCGGTGCCTTGCTCAAAATTGACCATATATACCGGTAACAGCTTCGTATATCCAGAGATGAGCCAATAAAATGCCATTAAGCTGTGATTGCCTTGAGCTCATTGGCGATCCAATCCCATGTCCCCAAGCCAATTGAGTTATAAGACTGAGTCAACGGCGGAGCCCAGTGTAAATTATATGAATCGTATTGGCCAGTGATGTCCCCAATAGTAATTTTGAAAGCGTCGAGGGAGGAGCCCTTTTGTTGATTCTCCTCGTTTGTGAGAATTGTCTGCGGGCCTGGGCTCTCATAATTGATCAAAACTGGAATATGTGGGATTAAAGCCCGAACTTGATCAATTGGCCCAATGTCAACGTGCCAGTTGAGTGGGCTAGGCTCCAACACATATTGTGAACTCCTCTTGACAATTACCGAATTGAATGCAGAATCGCACTCTGCACAGTTAAATGATACAAGACTTCCGTTGCTTGTGGTAGGCCATGGATTCATCATGATGTGCTTAAAACCCAGCGTCCGGCAGTAGTTTATGAAATTTTGAGTGCCAGCTTTGCCGTACATGTCGTAGAAGCCTTGCATATTTTCGATGCGCACGTAGTCGGTGTACGGCTTGACAGCGGCAGCCATGTCGAGGTAAACCTGGCTGTCCATATCACCCGCACTAGGTGCCCTCCCGATTCCAGGAATTATAGTGATGTTTCTAGCTTGTACGCTGTGAATCATACTCTCGTAGGCTGACGGATTGGCAACATTGAGAAAGAAGGGAACGAGAGCGGTCACATCAGCCTCATCAAAGGCATCTAAGTATTGCTGATCTGAAATCGAGGGAATGCCCAAGCCGCCATTCAAGGCATAGACCATATGGACGGACCTTTGGTAAACAGAACCCGCAGCAGCGATGGAGACAAACCCCGTCGTCACACAGAGAGCTTTCAGCAGCATCATCTTGGCAACAGGCATTTCAGCTGACGGTAGGGAAGAGATTTGTATTGCTGAGTGTGAGATGTGCAGATGAAGATCAAGAAGGTGATTAGAGTTTTATATCTTTTATAATAAAAAAATCTCTGGCGCAAGCGATGCCTTTTCGCCAAATCCAATGATTATATGATAGTCATGGGAATAGAGAAGAATTTGATGAGGAGCGGAACGAACTTGAGCGCATCATTAGTCCAATGGGCATATCACTGGCAGTATTCCTAAAATCTGCATACTGCATACCTAATTAGGTCATACCGGCGAAATCGCTCAGGTCCATGTCTTGTTTCTTACACGTGAAACAGAAGATGAATCACGCAATCGCTTCTAAGCATCGGCACGGGGAAGTCGCGGACCCTGTTATTGATATCGCCATTTTTTTCCATGGTTTATAAAAGCATTCATCAGGATTTGTCCCTGGTAATTGCGTTAGTGACTGGAGAACTGCCGGGACGTTGCATGATGCATCAGTGCCTGTAATTTGGAGAATCAGGTACCCCGCAGGGACGGGAACGAGACTATGCAGGGGAACCGGGGAGGTCGGGGAAGTTGGTTTGCACAGCTTTATTCACGATCTATCGCCTCAAAGAATACGAAGAGGTCAAAATTGGATGTCGCTCAATGTTGGTTGTCTTCAACAAGAAACAGATAGATTTAGTAATTATCTAGAATTCTTCCAAGTGTTTCTGATCCCATGAATTGAGTCAACGATACTGATCAAAGGTTCAATTCACTGGAGGAATTTCCCCAAAAACTACAAACATTATCATCCAAGAGTGCAATGCTCTGCCATCATTGCTTCAGACTCTAAGGACTGCCTAATATGCCTTTGTTTGGAAGGTTTTACACCATATACTCTCATAATTTTAAGTCGCGACAATTACTTGTCAATGACCTGCTTCGTGGGAGACGGGTTAAGGAAGAAATCGGGGAGGCCGGGGACGTTATCGTTCCCATTTTCAAATACAGTCGTTTACACCATTTCGAGGATATGTGAGGCCATCTCAACCAGGACAGGTATTCAGCATATAATAATGATAAGGTTGATAATACTCAGCCCTGTCTCATATTCACATCAGAGATTGGCTACAAATAACTTATGTTGACATCAACTCTTGTCATTTATTCCTCACCATTCTGAGAAAACACTCTTGACCACTCCGCGATGAAGTTCTCATATCTAACAGTCGTTTACACCATCATAACGGCTGCGTGGTGTTTGGACAATGTACACTGGGTTGACATATGGAATGGGTCACCTGTGCTCGCCAGATTTACTCCTCCAGACTCTTTTATAAACCCCCAAGGCTACTTCCGCAATGCAACCATCAGACAAACATTGCACCTGACTTTGGCAACCGGTGTACTCCGGGTAAAGCTTTCTAATGAATTCGGTTCATCCCCTCTGGAGATAACCGCGAGTACGGCTGCATTGACCGCAAACAATACAGCTGGAAGCGACAGTATTGATGCCAGCAGCCTACAGGAGCTCACCTATAGTGGCGCCTCTTCCATTGTCATTCCTACTGGTGGTACTGTTCTTTCAGATCCAATCAATATATCCACCAGCACCCAGCAACATCTCACCGTTTCGCTCTACCTTGCCAAGGGCCAAATTGGTACAAATACCACGTCGCATGATGTTTCGCACACAACCACCTGGCTGGGACCTGGAGATCAAACGGCGAATCAACATATCAACGGCGGAGCCTCTGTTACCCACTGGTACTACGTCACAGAAGTGCAGGGCCAGCTTCCTGCAACATCGAGTGCATTGATCTGTATCGGAGATAGCATAACAGATGGCACAGGCTCCACCACAAACGGGAATGACCGCTGGGTAGACGATCTTTTCCGCCGAACTCAGGCAGCCCCAGCGACTAAACATATCGCTGTTCTGAATGCTGGGATCGGTGGAAATCACCTTGTGACATCTCCTGGGCAGGGTCCATCGGCATTAGAACGGATCAAGTCCATCATCGCTCAGCCCGGTGTACGATACATAGCTATTCTAGATGGTGTTAACGACATTGGCCACGTTGCCACAACTGCAGCGGCACAAGACGCTCTCTACAACCAGATGGTTCAAGCTTTGGAGGAAATAATTGACGAGGTTCATCAAGCCGGCTTATTTATTTTTGGTGGTACTCTTACACCTTCGTTTTATGATCCACCTTCTAATCCGGACACCTCCAATTACGCCAATCCGCAACGAGCGGCCACCCGGAATCGCCTCAATCTTTGGATCAAGAACGAAGCCAAATTTGACTACGTGGTTGACTATGCAGCTGCCCTTGCGGACCCAAGCAACCTTGATTCATACAAGGCCCAATATGCTTTCACCAACTACATCCATCCTAATGTAGCTGGCCATCAAGCTATGGCGGACGCATGGGATCTCCGCATATTTCAACAAGTCAATGGTACATCTGGCCAGAGTCTTTCTCGAAGGGGAAAGCATCATTCATAGTCCATTTATATGAGGAAGAAAAGTTTGGTGGATTGGAGTGCAGCGCAATTCTCATCTGATCCGGGACAAGCTCAGGCAGATGTATCTAGTGTAGCACAAGTATAGAATTGAAGAAGCCCATGACCCACCTCAAAGGCTCAAAGCCGCTTTCGCGTATTTTGCTTCTTCCATGATAACTTGAAACTTTTGGGGCCACTTGCCGCCATGACGTGAATTATAATGACATTGAAGTCTGCAAAGTGTAAAGAATTGGGGCTCGGTGCGCAAAGGCTGAAAACCTCCTATAAGCAACTACATTCGTGAACTTTAGACCATCATTTTATTTTAAGTTAAGCTAGAGCAAGAATCAAATCTGCATCAAGTCAAAGGATCCAACGCGAATATCTGGACTTGGGTGGAAAAAAATGTATCTGGGTGTGGGCAAGGAATTGGGGAAGAGACAGGAATTATGCCAAGATACATAACCAAGACCGTCCCCATCGTTAACCCACGTGCTAAATGGCAATAACCATAAATCAATACTATATAGCGCCATCCTTACGGCAGTTTCCCCTGTTTATTCGATACCAGGGTCGGCAACTTTGTGCCGATGGCTGTCTGGCGGCGAACTATGGAAGAATCATACACTGGAGGGGGTTAGTGCCTTTGCAGGGCTCCCACCGGCTCCCCGAGCTCCCCGGCGTTAACCTGAATTTCTCAACCACAAGACCATCGAGGATAATTGCTTCAACCAATAAGATAGACATCTTATGTAAACGGAATTCAACATGAATATGTTGCCATTTGTGATGTTGTCAATGGCTGTTCGAGTATCCTGAGTATAAGGTGCTTCGCGAGCTTCCACAGAGGTAGCTGGAGATTTTCGAATCCCAACAATTGACATGTTTATCGACTGCCCCAGTCATATTCCTTGACCCATTAACGCTGTCAATCAAATTGCTGACTATGGCCCCTTCATCTGCGGACCTACCGCACCAGGCTGAGCAGTCAATTCATCCCGCAAACAGCAAGGAGCCCGGTAAATCAGATGTTTCTCAAATCGACAATGATGGATCTTTTGCCAAAGATGTCTTCCATGATGCCAAAGCAGCAACTGAGGCGGAGCATATGACAACTCCGCTCCAAGGCTTCAAGAAATACCCGAAGGCTGTTGCTTGGTCCATTTTGGTCACAATGGCCGTTGTCATGGATGGCTACGATGAATCGTTGATCAAGAGTCTTTTCGCCCAAAAAGCATTCCGAAGGCGATTTGGCGAGCCGACACCCGGTGGTGGCTACCAATTGACCCCTGCATGGCAATCTGGCACGGCCAATGCAAGTGTCATTGGTATCATGATTGGCATGTGTTTCAATGGCTACGTTCGGGAAAGATTTGGAATGAGAAAGACCATGTTGACTGCTTGCTTTGTTCTCACTGGCCTCATATTCATATTGGTCTTCGCGCAGTCGGTGGCAATGCTTCTTGTCGGTGAACTGCTGTGCGGTATCTGCTGGGGAATTTTCCATGCAACGGCCCCGATTTATGCCTCTGAGGTTTGTCCAACCGTGCTGCGAGGATATCTCACAACCTTCATCAACTTGGGCGCTGTGTAAGATGCCCTAAACTTTCCGATGCAGTCAAGAGAGCTCACTCACTAATGGGATATGTGTTTAGATTTGGCCACCTTATCGCAGCTATCGTATTGAAAGCGACGCAGACAATGACAGGCAGATGGGCTTATGATCTGCCATTCTCTTTGCAGTGGGTTTGGCCTGTGATACTTGTTGTCGGCCTGATATTTTGTCCTGAGTCACCATGGTGGCTGGTTCGAACAGGTCGTCTCGAGGAAGCGGAGAAAACCCTGAAACGTCTTACAAGCGGGGAAGGAACTCATGAGGCCGTCGCTCTGATGGTTCGAACGACCGAAGAGGAGAAGCTACTCGGTGGTTCCTCTTATTGGGACTGTTTCAAAGGGTCAAATCTTCGACGTACTGAAATTGCATTCGCTGTCTGGAGCATTCAAGCATTTTCGGGCTTGCCTATGTCAGCTTACAACACCTACTTCTTCGAACAAGCAGGTCTGTCGGATTCCAGTGCCTTCAGTATGAGTATTGGCAACTCCTGCATGGGAATAGCTGGAACAATATTGTCCTGGTTCCTCCTGACTTGGTTCGGTCGCCGTACCATCTTTATTGGTGGTCTCGTAACCATGTGTTTCATCCTTTTCATCATTGGCTTTGTGTCACTAGCGCCCTCGTCCAACGATAGTGCGGCATGGGCGCAAGCTGTGATGTTGCTGATTTGGGTCTTCACCTACGACTTAACCGTCGGCCCGGTTGCTTGGTGCGTTGCCAGTGAGGTCTCAGCAACACAAACACGTGCAAAGACAATTGCCGTTGGTCGCACGGGCTCTTATATCATCAACATCATCTTCAACGTTGCTACACCCTACATGCTGAATCCCACGGCAGCTAATTGGAAGGGTAAGACAGGCTTCTTCTTCGGCGGGACATGTGCTCTTTCTCTTGTTTGGACTTTCTTCCGTCTCCCAGAGTTCAAAGGCAGAACATATGAGGAGCTTAACATTCTCTTCTGGAAGAAAGTGCCGGCTAGAAAGTTCAAGAGTACAAGCGTCGATGCTTATAGCGAGGAGTCCAACAATGCTCCAGCTGTTTAATAGGTGGCAGCCAAGCAGACTTAACCCTCGCTATGATGGACAATATTCAAGTGTCCGTTAGCTACTTCGAGGTTCGACTGGATAGTGAACTTAGCTTCCTAGACAATAATTTGAATTGGATATTCATAAATTCATTTTAATTAACAATTACACTACATTTTACTTGACGTTTGGCTTTTGCTAGTAGCATATTACTTGTATTCGAACCATATGGGCTCACGTTTTTTTATGCTCTTAGTATTGCAACAATCCAACAAACTCCACTGTTGAATACCAATATTGAACAAGGTACTCGTTAAGCTAGGTTGGAAGGTGATTGCATCCCGAAAGTCTATCTATACATAATATTTCTCCCTCCATTTTGTGGGTAATTGTCAAGGGCAGAAGGCCGCTCGGGGTGGCCACCTGAACCTGGAAGGCCTTATATGGAACCCGGCCGAACAGACGCAGGAAGAGTCTTAGCTCCTTAGAAATGAATACAGTCACTGTATGCCCTCTACTTCCTCGTTGCTACTTCGTTGCTCTCGTTCACGTTTACTATATACATGTATTATGGACCTCTTCACCTCCTCTGTGCCTCCCCGTACGCCTCTGACAGTAATGGCAAAGTTTCATGTCCTGTGAAATTACCTCAGTATCGAAAATAACTAAGGTACATATTTACATCAACCACCCCTGGTAACCTGACCCCTCCTCGTCTCTTCGCCAGGTTTAATGTGCATCCAACCCTTCATTTGCTCCAAGTGATTACCCCCAATGAGATCGTTCCGATCAAAGCCATAGTCTTGGCCAATCTTCAGAATCTCTTCATGCGGGATCCATACGACGCCGGTCTTCTGCACGTAATCGTCCCAGAGACGCAGCATTTCTTCTTTCTTTTCTGGCTCCTTTTCTGAAAGATCTTCCATCTCACCAGGATCACGGTAAATGTTGTATAACTGCCAGCCGTTGCCGCCTTTGGCTGACTCAATGTTGACCATTTTCCACTCTCCCTTTCGGATTGCACCACGACCGAAAAGTTCCCAGCCCATGTATGTGTCAGTTCCTGAATGAATGCCATCTGTAGACTCTGACTTGGAATTGCTGGAAGTCATAAAATCCAACCAGGACTTGCCACGCATAGCGGCCACCTTCCTGCCCCTAAACATTCCATCTTTCTCAGCAGGATGTTCTATGCCTGCCATTTGCAGGAAAGTGGGACAAAGATCCATCACAGTCGAGAAGGACCTGATGATGGCACCATTTTGAAGGTGCTTTGCAAACTTTGGGTAGTGTATCACTGAAATGCGGTTAGAGGGAATGCTTGATAGTTGCAAATGGTGGAAGGGTGGTTGCTTACCGAAAGGAACACGAATACCTCCTTCAGTAGAGAAGGCTTTGTACAGGCGGCTGGGTGCTGTACTTGCTTGAGCCCATCTCGAACCGTACCATACGTAGCTGTTGGCGTGTCCGACATTCTCGAAGGAGTTATCATAGTACTTGCGAATCGTTGCAACGACATCTGGCCCCATTGTTGGCTGAGCTTCGATATCGGCTCCTTCTGCCCCGTTGTCACTCTGAAAGATAATGACTGTGTTATCAAACTCGCCGCTCTGCTTCAGATACTGAATCATTCTCCCGACATTTTGATCAATGTTATCCACCATGCCGGCAAAGCACTGCATCGCCCGAGCACTGAGCTTGCGCTCCATTGGAGTCATCTCATCCCATTCGCGATTGGTGGGTCCTGCAACGACATCATGTGGTGTGATATTTTCACTGATAATGCCAAGTTTCTTCATTCTCTTTAATCTCTTTTCGCGAAGGGCTTCAGGGCCGTCATCGTATACGCCCTCGTATTTGTCGCGATCAGCATCGCTACATTGCAGCGGCCAGTGCGGTGCGAGGAATGGAAGATATGCAAAGAATGGCTTCTCGCTATTATCAGCGGATCGGTCTTTTAACCAATCAATGAGGTTGTCAGTGTAGGAGTCAGAAGAGTAAAACCCTTTCGGGTCATTAGTGAGGTTCGGCTCCACGTTGTATTTCCTGCCGTCCATCGTATATAGTTGCGGGCTGACGCGAGTGAAGAATGGGGTCTGGTGTTTTTCCTCTAGTAGCGGCTCCCAACCATAGTGATTGCTCTGCCCTCCAAGGAGGGTGAATGCTCTGTCAAAACCTCGTGCCGCAGCGTTACTCTCGGGCGTATATCCAAGATGCCACTTGCCGGAGATAAGCGTATGGTAGCCGTTGTCTTGGAGGATCTCGGACAACGCAGCCACATCATGGTTGAGAAACCCTTCATACCCCTTGACGTTGAATTTTGACGAGACTTTTCCCTTATTCTCGCTCATCATTCCCACGCCAGCGATGTGATTGTCCGTTCCGCTCAGAAGCATCGATCGCGTAGGGCTGCAGGCCGCCGCGGCGTAGTCTTCGGAAGTGTTAGTCAGATCTTCACCTTACCCCCAGCTAGAACTGAACTTACAATCTGTAAACCGGGCTCCATCACGCGCGAGTGTGTCTAAATGAGGGGTATGGATCTCACTCCCAAAACATCCTATATCGCTATATCCCAGGTCTTGATATGGGTCAGCCCAATTCGTGGAAGAAGATTTTTATTTTCGAAGGTAGGCGGGAGTTGAGGGCCTGGGGAAGGGAGATCTCGTCACATACCATCGGCCAAGATGACCAGGAAATTCGGTCGAGTGTCTTTCTTATTTGCGATTGGCATTTTGAACTTAGAGGCAACTTTGATATGGCCTCTTCAAGATACTTTTCATCCCAAGCCCCCACAAGATCGTGGCGGATCTTTCTACATATATGTTCATTCGAACGCTCGCCGTCAATTTTACAGGTCTCTCCCCAAGCATTTGCTCCCCCAATTACCCCATATATCAGCACCATTGTGTAGACGATAATCTGATCCAGGGGTTGCCGTCCCTAGTTGAATTCCCCGGTCTCCCCGAGGACCCGCAATCCGATTACACTTCGTGCGAGACTTTACCCCGTAGTTATCTCAGTCATGCATGGCTTCGGACCATTCACAGCATTTTTACCGGGTACTGAACGCACCGAAAGCGGAAGTACATGCATATTTTTCTCATCTTGCTCCCCCAATTCACGACTATGCGGGGAAATAGCTCATCTTCGCCGGAGGCATTGAAATTTGCCCCTCTATGACGATGGAACTTATCAAGACCCTCTATTGGCTATTGTGTATCTATATTTTCCCAGAGCAGGGGTAGTGGTAGGCCCTGTTGAATCAGCAAATGCTGCCACCTCAAGGGTCGTGTAATTTACTCCCGGGGCAAATGCTGATACTTGGAATGAATGTTGAATACACTTGGTTCCAATCTTTTAGACGGCCAGTTTGCTTAGGCTTTATTTTTTGCGACAGGCGCACTCTATCAATCATACATATCCGTATATTTTGAGAGTTTTTTATCTAGTTTTGTCGTTACCAGCTGCTTAGCCCAACTAGTCTTTGCCTTCCCCATCATCTCAGCTGGCAACAAAGCCGACCAGCAAGATGGCAGCAACCCAACCAAACATTATCTTTATTATGGCGGATGATCATGCAGCAAAGGCTATCAGCTGTTACGGGGCCGGAATAAACGAAACACCAAACCTTGATCGAATCGCCAATGAAGGCATGAGGTTCAACCATTGTTACGTTACGAATTCCATCTGTACACCAAGTCGGGCGGCCATCATCACCGGAACTCACAATCATGTCAATGGGGTGTTAACCCTTAACTACAAAATCAACAATGTTCTTCCAATGGTGCAAAAACATCTGAAGCACGCTGGCTATCAAACTGCAATGATTGGTAAATGGCATCTGGGCGAAGGACCCGCACATGAGCCTCGCGGGTTTGACTTTTGGGATGTCCTCCCTGGCCAAGGCCTCTACTTTGACCCGATCTTCATAGGACCCAATGGCCGACACATGGAGAGAGGATACGTCACCGATATCATCACGGACAAGACACTCGATTTCATTCGTAACCGAGATACGACAAAGCCATTCTTTGTCATGTGCCACCACAAAGCCCCTCATCGGTCTTGGGAGAATCATCCTAAGCATAACTCGCTCTACCAGGAGGACATTAAGGTCCCAGAGAGTTTCAACGACGATTATAAGAATCGAGCAAAAGCTGCAGCTGCGGCAAAGATGCGAGTCACCGAGGATTTGAGATATAATGACCTTGGACTTTGTCAACCCGAAGGCGGATCTGAAGTTGGCGAGTTGGATGAGCCAAACTTTCCGCAAAGACCGGATCGCAAGATTCCATTCCCCGAAGATGTGTCGTCAATGGTCTTGATTGACAAACTGACGGGCGAGAATTTTCGATTCAAAACTCAGGATGAATTGCGCCACTTCAAGTATCAGCGATATATGAAGCGATACTGTCGCACCGTTCACTCTGTTGACGAGAATGTCGGTCGAATCCTAGAATACGTTGATAGTCTTGGTAAGGAGGTGGCAGATAATACGATGATTATCTATACATCCGATCAGGGTTTCTTCCTCGGAGATCACGGATGGTTTGATAAGCGCTTTATCTACGAAGAGTCGTTCCAGATGCCGCTGCTTATCAAATATCCCAAGGAAATCAAGCCTGGCTCTATTTGCAACGACATCGTATCAAATGTCGATTTCGCGCCTCTTTGGTTGGACCTTGCAAACTATCCGATACCTTCATACATGCAAGGCTTCTCGTTTAGGAAGCTTCTCCAGGGAGAAACACCAGAGAACTGGCAAAAGGTAGCATACCATCGGTATTGGATGCACAACGACTCACCACATGAATGCCGGGCGCATTATGGTGTCCGAAATCAGCGCTATAAAATTATCTACTGGTAAGGGCATTCAGAAATATCGGCCGTAATTTCCTATCTGACTCATTGATCACAGGTATAACAAGGACTTCAAGTTGGCCGGCACAAGGCCTGGTGGAGAGCCGCCCGAGTGGGAGCTGTTTGATTGTGAGAAAGATCCACTAGAGCTTCTCAACCAGTATCACAATCCTGAATTTGCGGACGTTGTGAAAGAGATGACTAGGCTACTGGAAGAAAAGATGGGAGAGATTGGTGATGTGTGGGATCACTAAACCTCTGCATGCGGACAAGATTGATATTTATGCTTGCTATGATAAGAACCCAACTCATCACCCATAAGAGCAACGAGACATTAACTTTAAAGAATAATACAATATGTCTATCAATACTGTGGAGATCGCATATGTAATTCCTTGCGTCGACTGCTACAGCTTGGTTAAGGCGTCATGCCCCGCGGCGGGGAGGAAGCGGCGTAAGTTCAATACAACGTTTTCCGACGCTGATCCATCGTGAAGCCACCATTGAAGTCTTGCAATTTTCCGACCCCTCAGAAGATGCACCAGCGCCAGGAAGTCGGCACCGAGGCCCGAAGAAGGGAAGATGGGGAGTTAACGACAGGACGAACGAATTTGCCAAAGCATTTCCTTACTACAAGGCCTAATGAAAAACAAGCAGCGCGCGCATTCGTTGAACAGGGATAAACCCCTCTAACCAAACTCGACCCTTCCTTGCGAATGCTGGTGTGAAAGCTAAGAATGTGGAAACGCCTCTTCTGGGATCGTGGCGTTTTCACTAGAGTGGTCGGGGGGTCCGGGGAGCATTGAAGGGAACAGAGCGAGACCCGAGTCCTCCACTAGAATCCACATTGACCTCTAATGACCAATTTGCAGGCCTGTTCGATATGATTGTTAAATTGCAAGATTACTGAAACGTGAGAAAGAATTGATATGAGATGATTATGTGATTATAAACAAGGCACCTGGGTTGCACACAGGATACATGCATTCACACACAAACTCAACTTGCCAAGTTTGGATCGAAAACGCCATGGATTCTCAAATGCACAGTCGCCAGGGGTGTTGTTCGCAGCCTGTTGTGAAACCTGTTGGCAAGAAGGTCGGTCACTAATAGTTTTCGCAAATGGCATCTCACTATCGTAAGCTTATAAGCTCATTATAGTAATAGATTCAATCAATCCAACAAAAGCGACTTGCACACTTCACGGATACGAAACAGTACAAGGAACAAAGCATATTTCCGTAAGCCTCATACCGATTGGCGTTCTCTGGGGCTGAGCAAACGCTGATGATACCCACAGAAAACTTGCTCATGCAACAGTCTCTGGAGGTGACAATGTTCGACTCTGGGTAGGTTACATTGAATCTTGCTCTGGAAGTATTTTGTTGATTTTTTTTTCAGGTGTACTCTCCAACCGCACCGTCGCGCCCTACGTTCGTGGAGGTTAAATCTCAGGTGTTCAAACCCACGGAAGTAGGCGTTTCTTTCGGACCCAGTTGGTCTACACATTGGTTTCGGGTGGAAATCGTTGTGCCACAATGTATGACGAACTATTCTCATCTCGAGTTGCATTGGAACTCTAATAGCGAGGCTATGGTTTGGACGGAAGATGGCGAACCTGTGCAAGGCTTGACAGGGGGCAGTGAACGTGGAGGTGAGAGACAGGAATGGATCTTCCCTCAACAGTGGAAGGATGGGAAAAGACATACCTTTTTCATCGAAATGGCATGCAACACCATGTTTGGAAATGCTGAAATGCACGACATTATACAGCCTCCTCCCACGGACAAGTACTTCAAACTTGAAAAGGCAGACATTGTAGCCGTCAATGTCGATGCAAGGCAGCTATTATTTGACTTTTACGTCATAAGGGGTATGTAGTCCCCTTGATATGAAAACTCGTACCATCGCGAGCTACTAATATTTGATGATAACAGATGCGGCACTATATCTGCCTCAAGACTCGTGGCAATCGCATCGTGCTCAGCGGGCATGCGACGATATCCTAGATACTTTCTCTGCTGGCGACGGCAGCTCGGGTGCTATTTCAAAGTGCAGAGAAATTGCTCGAAGCTATCTTGGTGACAGAATTAACACAGAAGAGGTTTTTAAGACAGATCAGACGGCAATAGTCTCGGCTATTGGCCACTGCCATATCGACACATGTTGGCTTTGGCCTTGGGATGAAACGAAGAGGAAAGTCGCTCGTTCGTGGATTAGTCAATGCAATCTTATGGACCTATATCCTGAGTACCGGTTCTGCTGCTCCCAAGCACAGCAGTACAAATGGCTGGAGACTTTGTATCCAACAATCTACAAGCGGGTCAAGGAAAAGGTCGCCAAGGGAACCTTCCAGCCAATTGGTGGAAGTTGGGTTGAGCATGATACAAACCTCCCTAGTGGTGAATCTCTAGTCCGTCAATTTCTATACGGACAGCGATACTTTCAAAGTCGATTTGGTCGCAGGCATACTACATTCTGGCTACCTGACACTTTTGGTTATTCGGGTCAGCTTCCCCAGATTTGTCGCCTAGCGGGAATGACGAGGTTCTTCACGCAGAAGCTTAGTTGGAACAACATCAACAACTTTCCACATACCACCTTCAACTGGGTGGCACTGGATGGTCGGAGCAAAGTGCTTTGTCATATGACACCTGCAGAGAAATACAATGCGGAAGCGACGTTGCAAGACCTCGTACGCTGCGAAACGAGACACAAATCAATGGACCAGGATAACACCTCGCTATTAGTTTATGGAAAGGGCGACGGAGGAGGCGGTCCAACAATCGCGCACTTGGAAAGCTTGAGGCGATGCCGTGGCATGAGTGATCAAGTAGGTCGCCTGCCTCGCGTTCAACAGGGTAACTCTGTGGACGACTTCTTCTCTCAGCTGGAGCAAACAGAAAAGGATGCCAATAATCCTTTTGTTACTTGGTTCGGTGAACTGTACTTTGAATATCATCGGGGCACTTATACTACCCAGGCTAAGACCAAGTTGAACAACCGACGGGCTGAGATCTTCCTACATGATCTGGAATATTTGGCCACGCTTGCCAGTATACAAAAGGATTCAACTTATAGGTACCCAAAGAACGAGATTGACGAGATGTGGGAGAAGGTTCTGCTTTGTCAATTCCATGACTGCCTTCCAGGGAGCTCGATTGAGATGTGCTACGATGATACGGATAAAGTGAGTTATTGCACTCCCACTGTTTCATATTTCTAGTTGAACTGAAGACTAACGATACTAGCTCTACGATGAGGTATTCTCCGTAGGAAATACAGCACTTACGAATGTTGCAACCGCGCTTCAGCTAAACTTGCAACCAACAGATTCTGCCAACCTTGTGGGAGTAAACACGCTCGATTGGGACAGGGTCGGTCTAATGCCATTGCCAGCAGCAGCTCGTTTCGAGGGTAACCAGAAGTTTGGTTTCTACCGATGTGGACCCGGGATATCACCACTTCAGCCCCTGTCAGGCGTTTCCTTCGAGGCAGCGACCATATCTGAAACCAGCAAGGGTGTCTGGATCTTGTCAAACAGCCAGTATCGTGTCACGGTGACTCAGGGCACCATCGTCTCGCTATATGACATCCGCAGAGACCGTGAAATAATCCCTGATGGTGCAAGAGCCAATCAGCTCGTTGTGTTTGGTGATATGCCCCTTTATCATCAAGCCTGGGATGTGGAGACATATCATCTCTCTCAAGGTCGCGAACTGGAAGGAGGGGTTTCGTATCTAGCTGAAAGTGGACCTCAGAGAGTTTCAGTGACAACAGTCACAAAGATATCTGGGAGCAGCTCCATCAAGACTACTATATCCCTCAATGCTGTTATTGATCCCCAAGAGGAAAGTCATATTGAATGCTCTGCAGACGTCGACTGGCATGAGAACATGAAGTTCCTCAAGGTCCAGTTCCCGGTGGATATTTACAACACAAAGGCATCATATGAGACTCAATTCGGCATTGTGGAACGGCCAACACATTACAACACCTCCTGGGATATGGCCAAGTTCGAGGTGTGCTGTCACAAATGGGCCGACTTATCGGAAGCAGGATACGGTGTGAGCATTCTCAACGACTCCAAATATGGCTTCGCTACGAGTGGAAACATGATGCGATTGAGCCTGCTCCGTTCACCAAAGGCCCCCGATGCCAACGCTGATATGGGTCGTCATCATATTAAATGGGGCATTTTCCCTCACGAAGGACCTGTTGGTTGGCAAACAGTGAAGAAGGGCTTTGAGTTCAACATCCCGGTCCGTATTGCCTCGCGCCCTAACGGGATCTGCTCGCCGGAGTTGTCAGCGAGCCCCGTCAAATTGAGAGACGGCCTAGGACTTGTGCTGGACACCATCAAGAGAGCAGAAGATGATACAGATGTGAGTTGTGGCAATTTGCCTACAAGGGAGGGCAAAAGCATCGTATGCCGAGTATATGATGCCATTGGTGGGAAGAACAGGGCTCTCTTAGAGACCAGGCACGCCAAGATTCAGAAGGCGTGGAAATGCAATATCTTGGAAGACGACTTGGAGGAGCTGCCCATTAAGAATGGTGGCGTAGAGATAGAGCTGCAAAGATTCGAACTAGCTACCTATAGACTACTTTTAGATTAGCTGCTAGACGTTTGAATTACTGGACATGGTGCCTCTATGCTGAAGTCTGTCGCAAAGCAAGGGTAGAATTTAGAGGTGGACATTAGTATTGAATACATATTAATTATGCGCACGGATAACATATACAATACATGAGCCGTCATAGACCTGCCTCCCCAGATAAGTCTACTCATGATCTTTGGTGACGTGTTTCAGGAGTGTTTCCAGCACTGGCCGCGCCTGATCAATGTATGCTGCGCGCGCTGTGCGAGCAGCAAGTACCCGGAGCGACAACGAAACCAAGGCTCGCCAATTGTGTACATATAAAGGAGGTCCACGGAGTTGCGCAGCCAGAATCAATAGCGTTGCGGTGGAGATGGCCCGATAGCTAAACCAGGTCGCCTCGTAATGATGTGGTCTTGTAAGTCGCTTGATCGTGAGAGCACAGTACTGGAGGCATTTCTGTGCTAATGGCAATACACGATCAAAGTATGGGTCCGTGTCGGGCTTGTGAAGAGCGTAATAGAGTAAAGGTCGGTAAGAAATCTGGCGCCATTGTAGTTGTCTGCATTCCAAGATAAAAGCTAGGTCTTCGGGAGCACCATCGTCAGCATCAAATTCCAATGTTTTGGGCAATATTGTTCTCCATTGGTCAAGTTCATGCTCCTGGAGAACGGCCTGGGCCATCACATGCTCTACATTCTCCAGCCAAACATGTTCTCCCGGCTCGTAGAGTAAGTCATTAATAGAATCAGCCTTTTTCCTCAGCGCTATGCACGCGAGATAATAGTACCAGCTATGTTCTTCTTGTTGTTGTATGACGCTTGATGGCAGTATCTGCCAATTTGGGTTTGTGTTGGATGAATTCTCATTCACACTGCCGTGGAATGAGGTCCAGGAAGGGAGACTTGGAAACTCCCGAGGAAAGTGTAAGCTGGTAATACCTGCTGGTGGAAGGCCGAGCTCTTCTCGAAGGTCTCTGTGATACTTTCAGCAAACGACATGACCTATGCCTTGTACAAGGCAAACGTACCGCTCAGTTCTACAACAGGAGAAATACAGTCGTTCTAAAACATGGAACTCTGTGTCAAGACTGTCATCTCTCACGTTCCGATGAGAAAGTATAAATTGCAAACGACTGCAAGCCTGACTATAATGAACCCAGGCATTGGTGGGTCTCAACCGACACATCTCATATAGTCCAGCCAGAAAGAAGCACTGAACCGATGTGAGCGTGACGTCTAGGAGACCAAGGCGCTTCTTGGCCGCAAGGTAGAACGCATCGCCAGGTGTGCAGTTCATTTCCGAGGCGTCGTAGAATATCTGATTGTAGGAATCTGGGGAAGGGTTTGAGTATTCAAACGACTCCCCGACTTGCTTCACGGTATTGGCAAGGGCACATGCCAGCATCTATTGGAATTTAGCAATTGGAGTACAGTCCAAGTTGATTTCCAAGGAGAAGTCAGGTTCATCTCACTACAACGCAGGAGTCTTCACCCCAATCAAACCCACCGTCTATTATCATCTTGACCTGTAAGTTGAATCTTAAGACGTCGAATATCGGATTCTTTACGTGCGCCACAGTCAGATACCTCTGGCAGAGGTTTTGAATATGAGCCTTGTCTATTGGCGATAATGGTGTTGTCAGTTCCTCCGCCAGACATTTAGCATTCCCCGTTCTAAACCCAGCCGGGGGCTCATCCCTCTGACTATGTGGGCTATTGTTTGTCGTCGATGGACTAGATGGCTGTCTAGGCGAGATGATGCCTTGTGAAATTATGTTCTGAATGATTGGCCACTTGGTTGTAGCTTCAAATGAGATCCCGGCTGCTTTGACAGCATGTGCGGGCCGTCCCAGATTAGACGCTCCTGAGAAAGTGGCGTTTTGCGCTGTGTCTAGAGGAGGCGAGGATGAATGAAGCGATTTACAGCTAGAAACAGTCGAATCTTCATATGCTGGTCGTCGAGAAAGCTCTAAAAGATGAGCAACATGGTTGACGCGATTCATGACATCTGTCAACGTTGGCTCCCTGCTCATAAATTAGGTTACACCAGAGTCACTTATAGCAAAGGTAGTCGATCCCTTACTGTGGAATCTGCTGTCCATCCAGCTCCCCATATACACATTGAACGTGATTCTCCACGCAAACACCACATGAAGGCCGGCGGTTGTCGCATTTTGTTTTCTTCGAGCGACACCGACGACAAGCCGTATGGCCTCGCTTGAAACGCTTGGGGCGACGTACTTGGGCCACCTCTTCCTCCCAGAAGTCCATTGGGATTATTTGGAGCAGGGAAAAGCACGATAATTGAGGCGGGAAACAGGGCAATAATCGTATGGCGACCGCAATCGTCTGAGGCGTTTGTGAAAACGAACTATTCATTCCTCAATTTTCTTTCAACTTGAGAACATGGAACCTACTAAGTCGGTCGTGGTATAGCTAAGTATGCATGATTGTGTGATTGAGTGTGCCGATGATGAAATTGGCTTACCACAGTGAGTTAAGGGTGCGGGGAACTTCTCTTAGGGAATCCCCATTTAGATATAGAGGACTCATTGATGGCCTGCAGCTATCCTCATGGTTGACTTTCTGGTGTGAAGGCAATGGTTGCAGGTGCCGGGCGTTGGATAACTACATGTATGAATATCCTGAAGATGATACTGTTGGAAGGGGCAGGAACCATGAAGTACCGGTAGAAGGATAATATAGAGGAAGACTACATGTATGTAATACTATACATGTAAGTAAAAGCCCTCTGCCCGACCTCTCTAGTAAGGATGAAGCGCTATCAATAATATATTGAAGCCCGGGATATAGCGCTATAATATAGGGGATGTTGCACTATAATACAGTGTCTATAGCGATGTAGTATAGGGAATTAAAAGTCAATACTACGATAATATACCCTAAGGATATAGTGCTATAGTATAGTAAATATAGCGCTATAGTATAGTCGATATAGTGCTATAGTATAGTGTATATAGCGCTATAATATAGGGATAGAGGGCTATGGATGTTTTTTTTTTTAAACTACAGGTACCTGATTTTTCGAGATCGGCAATTTAAATCGCTTAGCCACACGACCTGGCTTTGTTAGCGGCTCAATACTCAGAGATAGCTTTGTACGCAATAGACGGTTCCTTAAAACAAAGGCTATATCCTATTTTATGAAGTTATGCTAATACATACGGTCATAGGTAGTGGAAAATTCGGGGTCCCGTCAAGCTCTTCTCTTAAGTTGGATGTCTTCCGTTTTTTACATCTCAAGACTCCAAATTCGGAGTCACATGCTTCCGTTTTTGGAAGTCAATAAACCTCGCGGTAAGATATTTACTAACTTCAAGCATGCTCGAGGAAATCAATTACATATACAATATCGCCTGCAAATTACATATCATCAATACCTATAAGGACGTAAGAATTAACAGCTAAATGTAACAAACTGCCACACACCAAGTGCTATAAGCCAGCTAACTAATTATAAAAGATTTAATGCAGTTCCCTTCATAGAAGATGGCAGATTGGGGCAGATAAAATTTCTCATTAATAAGTATATGTATATATACATCGAATTCAAGCTTGTACATATCCTCCCAACCCTTCAAGAATTTTAGCCACTATCGCATAACCGCTCCGTATTGCCATAATAATCTCTATGTCCCTATTCTCATCCACAAGGTGCGGATTCGCTCCAGCCTCCAGGCCATTACGAAGACGGACATCACGAATAGCTGGTAAGAGTTCTTCCAGTGCCAATAGAACATCACAATCACCAATTAGCCTCATTTTTGCAAACTCCATCGACCCATCAGAGCGTTAGACAAGGAGATATCTGTGTTTAAGATGCTTGGTAAAAGCTACGCGATGGCAGCCAGTGTGGTGACAGTAGCCAAGGAGTTAGCATCTCAGACAGATCTGCTCAGTAGTGGATTGCAGGACGGGATGTCACCTAACTATAGCACTATTGAAGTGGAGGTTAGCAGCAGCTTTGAATCTATGAAGGGCGCGCCGGCGTATGGGATGCTGCCGGAACAGACCCATCCCAGTAAGAAGGATCGGAATTTTTGGTCCAGTTTATGAACTGGGCTTTGACAGTGGAATCGTTCAATAGTTTTGAGTAACTCTCTACTGATATGAGTCAGGGGCTGCATCACCCTGATGCCTAGCTGCTGGGCTAATACATAAACTAGACATGGTAAAGTCGGTACATGTAATTATCATGCTGTTCCAAGGAAGGCTGTAGATAGAACCTGAAGCCAGTATGTATAACAGTAAGCTGAGAGTTAAAAGTTGAAATGAGAAATGAATTGGAATACTATTACAAGTCTTTCACTCTATTTTGTCTGTTCTTCTCTCTCCAAGGTCTAACTTATCGCAATCAACGATGACAGAAGTAGGAACCATGGATGCCTCTCCAAAATACTCATCACTCTTTGGTGTTTCAAAATAGGACATTTTAGCAGGATTTAATGCTTCAAGGAAGACTGAAATATATATGTTGTTTATTATAAGGAGCTGCAGATTCCTGATGTTGTTTAGATAGGCCGAGAAAATCACTAGATACTAAACTGCTCCCTTGAGGTGAGTTTCGTGTTATTTCTCACAAAACGTCGGTCTCATCAATGAGGATAACAACAGGATAACAACATCGTATTCTTCTCTAAACGACATATTAAGCCTCCAACAATAAGAGTGAATTCAAGTATAAGGTAGGAAAGGCGTTCACATCGCGTGTGGCGGGGCTATGGTTTAGGCTACGTCATTGGTAGTTTGAAACGTGTTGTTGGTTCTTCATATTAACAGGGTAAGACTGACTTCTAGGCTATACCCCGCATGAGACATTTTCTATGACGGACATTCAGGACGATATAGAGCCTGGAGACTTTTTTGGAACATCATCACGATGTGGTTTCAGGCTGTAAACACGAAGAATGTGTGCCTCTTTCTAGGTGGGCCATTGGCCTTCTGGTTCACGTGGAGAGTCATAGTTATTTATGAGAAATTAAAGCAGCTTGAGGATCCGTATCGGGCTTTCCTTGCTCGTCAGCAGCCAAATAGTGGGATATGCAAACGCCCGAAACACCCATGGCCGTGGTCATTGATATGTGATTGGATTTTGTACATCGTACAGTGGCCTAAGATAATTGCTTTGAGGAGTATGTCGACCCCGATTGTTCTAACATGATTACCCTCACAACCTATACTAAAGATCTCATAAAGGAAGATTCCTCAACAAGCATAGTAAACTCCTCTATGCTAGCTTACGTGAAGGGCAAATTCGTGTTCTAAAACTGTCCCCTGGGAAGCCATGGAGCTCAATCGAATGCAGTCTTCATGCAATAGAAATGGATTCAGCTTTACAGCCACGCATGCCGTACACTGCTCTATCGTACACTTGGGGTCTAGAGACACCTACAGCCCCGATACTTTGCAATGGGAGTATACTAGAAGTAACGCTAAACTTGCACGAAGCGCTCCTTTATCTGCGGTATATGGGCGTGGAAACCATCTGGATTGATGCGATATGCATAAACCAGAGTTCAAACATAGAAAAAGAAGAACAGGTCAAGCGAATGACGCAAATCTACAAGCAAGCAAACTCTCTTGTAGTTTGGATAGGAGGTCCAACAGGGGCAAGCAAGAATGGAATGCTCCTTTTGGACTATCTGCGGCTGCGTTGGCCTTACCTTGACTACATGGGCACCGAGTCTATCGCTCTAGAAGTCTTATCGAGAATACCACAAGGCCACGCCGACTATGTGGGAGACATACTCTTCCGGCCATGGTTTCGACGAGCATGGATAATTCAAGAGCTTATCTGCTGCAAAACTCGGGCATCCGTCCTTTGTGGCACAGTATGTCGTTCATGGGAAGATTTTGTAGGGGGACTCAGAGTATTTGCTGAAGGAGGTCTTTTGACAGAAGTGAAAGACTCAAAAGGCCATCTGAACGTTGTTTTGCGCCAATTAGAGTTGCTTCGAACCATCCAACCAGGCGCTCTTGACCTTCTCAATTTGGCGTTCCTGGCAAGATCTGCAGAAGCAGGTAATGCTCGAGATAAGGTGTATGCATTACTAGGACTAGCCAAGGACGCTGAAAGGTTATGTTACCCAGAAGGCAACATAGTGCACCATTTCCAAGTCAGTTATGCCAAGTCGATTTGCGATGTTTACATCTCTGCCGCAAAAGCCATGATAACGTCTGGCGGCTTATATGATGTTTTAGCAGAGGCATGTGGCTTAGAGCCATCAAAAGATATCCTCCCCACATGGGTACCCAACTGGAGCATTCAGGAGCGTTCTTGGGATGCGATTGATATGACATCACGAAGCATTAATATCCACGGCCCATCTCGCCCTAAACTTCCTGGGTATCACTTGCTGTCGAATTTGAGGACCCCAAGCACCTTTTCCGCTTCAACTCCAGACACTAACGCAATATTCAGATCTCCAAATTTGCTGATAGTGAATGGCATGATATATGGTCAAATACAACAACTGGGCTCTCGATACTCAGGCTATTCCTCCAAGGCTCCAGTGGCGAAAGTAGTCGAATGGCTGCAGTCCTGTGAGAAGCTAGCATCAGGGTGTTCAGGTAATGTCAGCACGTCAAGCAAACAAGATGTGCTCTGGCGAACTCTTATTGCGGACCAAGCCGGCGGTCAACAGCCTGCCCCAGCTGAATATCGTGACCACTATCATGCATTCCGCCAATCCCTTGAAGGCCTTCTTCAGATAGATCTGGATGGCAAACATGATCCAGATCTCATCCTTGATGTGCGGAGTAAATTTTTGCTCTTTAGTAAAGAATTAGGCGATCGTTGCCGAGGACGGAAGCTAGGCATCGTGCAGGGAGGTATGCTATGTCTTGTTCCAAGTACAGCATTAGTAGGGGATCTTATTACCATACTTGACGGCTGTCGAGTTCCAATCGTACTTCGCCAATTCGGGATGTCGTTTCGGGTGGTTGGGGACTGCTATGTTCATGGAATTATGTATGGAGAAGCCATAAACAGCGGTGGTATAATAGCGTCGCCTTCAAGGAAAGGGCAATCCCGAGTGCATATGGCGTACCAGAAATTCACCATCAAGTAGCAAATATATGGTATATAGTTATGCTATGTCATTTATATGAGGTTAGCTTTTCTCATTTCGATGGGCGGTCGGATAATTGAAAATTAATAAATGCCGTCCATCCCGCGTTTCCATTATGTATTCTTTCGAGAAGTGGGGAGCTACATTTGAGAATGTGAATCAGTGAATTCGACTATAATGAGTTCACAGTCCATTGGGCCTCACGCAGTTTGTGTAAGAGGGCTTTAAATTGCACTAGACATATCTAACACGAGATAACATGACGAGCTGACATTGCCAAGTCCTGACACAGTTGGGCAACACTTACAATCTGGCATTTGCTCCATATGAAATTACGACCTATTTAGGTTTCATGGTTATAACTGGTTCAAGAAGTAAACCAGTACATACGACCATAGGTAGTGGGGAATTCGGGGTCCCGTGAAGCTCATCTCTTGAGTTTGATATCTTCTATTTCTTGCTTCCCGAGACTCCAAATTTGGAGTTGCAAGATTCCGGTTTTGGAGGGCAATGAACCACGCACTAAGCAATTTATCGCTGTCAACATGTCATCTGACCTAACACAGAAAACGGCGCTTACACTGACCGTTTCAAAATTCAGGGTCCCGTCAAGCCCTTGTCTTAAGTGTGGTGTGCAGGGCTGTTGGACAGCTGTCGTAACTGAGTGTGAGGATGCTTCTTGATGCTACCTGTACTCTTGGGATTTTATCGGTATCTTTGTGTCTCACAACGAACGCAAGTGTACTTTCTTTGCTGTATTCGGTCCCGTCTTTCTAATTCCTTTATCTCAAGGTGATCTCATTGTAGTTCATACTGCCAATCAGTGTATACGGATGTATTACACAACAAGTGTTCGTGCTTCCAATGGTGCGCCTTCACCGATGACTGTGACAAGACCGCAACCAGGCTGTAACCGAGCTAGCCAAGCGATGAAAATATTGAGGTTGAGGCCATGAAATCAGGCTGTGTCAAGCGAGGACAGCGCATTCCACATATGCATCAGCTGATGTCAAAACATAAGGCCTTCAAGAAGCTAGGGACCCTGATTAATATTTCCTGTATGGATGCTGAAGTTAAAGTGCTATATGCATTAATGCTACACTTGTAAGCCTGCTGACTCGCCTTGGGCAGCCATGATAAAGCTGGGTGCTACATGTTAAGGCCTTTTATATCATTATGTTATAGACGAGGCGTTGAGACACTTCCTTCCACCCGCCATTTCTTTTCCCCTTCAAATAACAGTAAATTTGTATGGGAGGAATCTGCGTCAGGCCTCTCCTATCCTTACAGCCCGATTATCGTCTTAGGTGGGGTGGGGTTCGTTAGAACCAAGGTTTACTGTACATAAACGATGAGACAGGGCATTTAGGCAGCAATCTTTCGACATAGCCCCAAAATATTGAGCGATATAATTGTAACGTATAGCTTGACTTACACAAGTGTCTACTTTCCCACGACGAAAGCAATCTCTAATACCTTTCTTTTTTATTATCCGAGATATCTTATGTCTTCTACTGTTGAAAGAAAGGAAAATGATGATAAAGATGAGGCTAAGCTGTCTGACGTTTCCCTCGGACGATGTACTAAATGTCAGAATCTTTGTCTGGGTGATATTACCGCCGAAGGCTACATGCTCTATTCGGACATTGCGAGTCTTTTAGGTAATATGAACGCCAATGGCGCTACTTCGTGCGATTTATGTTCTATTATACTGTCGTCACTAAGATCAGATATGCATAAGCTTCAGTCTATGAGTTGCTGCAGTGTCACCTTGTACAGATATCCACCATATCATCAATTATTGGAAATGATATACGTGGTTGTGGCAGAAGAGAAAAGGCGCTCCGATTTCATGTGGTGTCCTGAGGGAGATGGACGTTGGTATCTTGGCCCACCGGACGAGAAGCCTTGGCTGGTCCGTGGCTATATCACCGTACACGCTGATTTTGATCCTGGTATGTAGTATGACTATCTTTAGTAAATATGTGTTGAGCTTAACGTGTATAGATTTATTCTCGAGCTCTGCATGCGCCATCGGGTGGAGGAGAGCGGAGTCATATTCCGGATCGAATCGCTGCTTTGATCTGGTCTCCGAATGGCTGTCAGACTGCCTAACGAATCATCATGGGAGGTGTCCCGTTAACGAAAACTCTCCTTTACCCAGGAGAGTAGTGGATGTTGGGCCACCGGATGGATCTCAGCAGCCTCTACTGGTCACAACAACCGAGGGTCAGACCGGAAAGTATATCGCTCTCAGTTACTGCTGGGGTAAAAGACCATTCTTTACATTAAGAAGTTCGAATATGGAACAGTTAAAACAAAGCATTCCGCTAAAAAATCTGCCGCAAACTATCTATGACGCCATCACGTTAGCAAAACGATTGGGTGTTCGTTATATATGGGTAGACTCTCTGTGCATCATACAGGGCCAAGATTACAAGGCGATTAGAGATTGGGAACGAGAAGGGCAGCGTATGGACAAAGTCTTCCAAGGGGCTTTTTTCACGGTCAAAGCCGCGGGGGCATCTGATGCATACCAGGGGCTTTTTCATCATCGAACCCCCCCAGTAGGTCCTTGTTGCACATTTCCCGTCGACCGAGATCAATCTAGACTGGTATATCTTGGCCAAAATGCCAATATTACGTTGCCGATAAATGAGCCGTTAGACCAGCGTGGATGGGCTTTTCAGGAAGCGCTACTTTCCCTACGATGCGTCTCATTTGGGAGCGAAGAGCTCTCTTGGAAGTGTCAAAGTTCCAGCAGAAGAGAATGTGCCTCGGACAGTATAGCATTCCAAAAAACATCGATTAAAATGGAAGAGCCAGGTCAACTGCGTTACAACTGGAATGATATTGTGGAAGAGTATAGCCTAAGGAGCTTTACTTTTGTCTCTGATAAACTGCCTGCAATAGCAGGACTTGCGCGGCTTGGTAGTACTCCTCAAGATGAGTACTATTTTGGTGCATTTAAAAATAGCATAATACCGTCGCTCCTATGGCGTCATCTTGGCCGGATTGAAAATGGAAAGCATGATCATGTGAAGCAGGTTAATATGCGACGACGAGCGCCTTCGTGGTCTTGGGCTTCTGTGGATGGAAGTGTTAATTTTCTAACCGGCTATAAGTATGATTCTATCAACATCAAGGAATTTCGAATGGACGGTTCTATTTATCTTGAAGGGCTTATTAAAAAGGTTGATACGATGCGCTTGCAAATTTCTGCAAATTATTACGGCGGATACGACAACTATTTACCATGGGCAAAGATTCCTCTTGGCGCAAAAACATACTTAGATGGCCTTGCCGCTATCCCATCTTCTCATCATAAAATCACCCGGGGAATCACACCAGAACTATTGGACGTGAGGTTTCTATATCTTGGGACTCACTGCGGTCTCATTTTGATAAAGGATACAAATAATTTGCCAATCAGAATGATAAATGGCACAAAAACCTCGTGGAGTAGAAGGGGGAAAACTTTGGCATTAGCATCAATGGCGACGGGAGGCAGATTGAGAGAGCGACTCCGCCAAATTTGCGATACCTATGGCGCGGATAAGGATAACATAGACGAAAAAAGAGAGGTGGAGAACGAGGAAGAGGAAAGCGACGAGTTTGGGTTTCATCTTCATCAACACTCTTTTTTGCGTATAGGAGCATTTGAAGGAGTTGAACAGGGGAGAGACTGTAGCCGTGCAAAACTGTTGCTCAGGTAGCTTACATGTACTAACGATTGTGAAAGAGGAGGGCTACCCCCAATAGAAAGGCAGCAGTCTAAGTTGATTACTTCATTTTTTTTTAAGAAATTGCGTCTATGTCTAACCCTAAGGGCTATATTTGTGTTTGAGACTGTCGAAATTCCCGAATGTTTCCTTTCCCATGTCAAGACGCATGAATTCACGTGGTTTATATAAGGCTCAAGTATAGAAATCTATCGTTTTTTTGAGATGCTAGGCGCCACTAAATAGCCCTCTTTCTAGTGATCTGGTACAATCATCAATGAATCCAGAGCCATAACTTTTTCTACGTCAGCATTTGACTGTGATGGTGCATTCGCTGGTCCTTTAGTCAAAGTTGGGGAGAAGTAGCCTGAAACAGCCTTATTTTAGCTTTGCCTTATTTTGGAAAATTTCTCCAATATCACATATAATAGCAAAGGATAGTTGCAAGGACCGAGTTGTTTTGATTCAGATGCTGCTGCGAAGGGCCGAACCCGAGAGCAACTTGGGCCTTGAAACTGACGGCGATGCTGCTCGTCTGAGTCTAGCCAAGCGGCGTTTAGAAGGTGGGTGGGATAGAGTTGGTTAGCACGACGATTTGGCCTTTAGTGCAAGGAATAAAACGGTACAACGCCCGCTAAAAATGAAGCGGCTATAGACAAGTAGATAGATACCTAGACTGCTAGTTTAATTTGCTTAAAAACCGCATTCTTATCACTCCAAATTTGGAACCCTAAGACTCCAAAAGAGGCAGAACCTGAAGGTTAATAAAGATCTTGGCGGGGCGATTTCTTCCCTAATGAACTCTGACACTATCCTTCGCGTCTTTGGCCGGCTCGATCCCTAACTAAGAAGATGAGGCCTTACTTACGTACGTAATGCGACTTCAACAAGGAGGATTCCCCGCGACTAAATCTCAGATTGTGGCTGCTGCTAATGATCTTCGCTAGCGGCGACGCTGTTGATGAAGGAGCGGACTTTGTCAGGCACACATCGTAATAGCAAGAGAAGATATCCGCAGTTGGCGATACCCCTCTATATACTCAGCAGGTCTACCGATATTTGGCTATATCTATCTTTCAAGTTTCTCCTCTAGACTTCTCTACAGAGTTATTATAGAAATGGGTTTATTACATACGACCGTAGGTAGTGGAGAATTCGGGGTCCCGTCAAGCTCTTTCCTTAAGTGAAATGTCTTCCATTTTTGGCATCCCAAGACTCCAAATCTGGAGTCACATCGTTCTGTTTTTGGCGGTTAGCCAACGAAGGATCACGCAGGTACCCTCTTTTAAGTCTTATTGGCTACCGTATTACAAGGCATTGATGGGTTGTCACCAGCACACCCCGCATCTCGACATATAAATGTCCCGCTACCTGTCAGCCTAATTACAGGTAGGTATGTATCTTGAGACTTCCTTGAGTGCCTTTACACACCATGTCGGACGAGCTACATTATCACAATGCCTACACTCTTTGCCAACTGCCCTCTGAAAGCTGGACGAGAGTACTAGTTCTCGACCCTGGAGAATTTGCAGACCCTATAACCTGCACTGTTCAACTCTATAATACAGACCAGCATGATTCAGGTGGTGAGCCGATATTCCCCACAATACAACTTGTCCTTTCCTCTGATCTTTTCGATGTGTAGAACCGTATGAAGCAATCTCCTATGTTTGGGGTGATCCAACCATAACATGTTCGATCCACGTCAATGGCGTTATCATGCGCATTACCCGCAATCTGTTCACAGCCCTTCAGCAATTGCGTTCTAAAGACACACCCAAGCGTTTATGGACAGATGCTGTGTGCATCAATCAGTCTGACATTCTTGAGAAGGGTCAACAGGTCAACAGAATGGGGATCATCTATTCTAATGCAGCGCGTGTTATTGTCTGGTTAGGCCCAGACGAAGAAGCGATAGCTGAGCCTGCCATTTCTGTCATCAAAAAGTTCAACCGCCTGGTCGAGAAACAAGCAACGCCTCAACAATTCTCTTCATGGTGGGGTCCCCTCCGAGATCCAGACGGGACTATTTCGCAGGAGCACATGAAGCATGTTGAGAGGATGTTCAAGCTACCTTGGTTCACTAGAGTGTGGGTGGTCCAGGAAGTTGGCGTGGCCAAAGAAGTTTCACTTGCCTGGGGCTCCGCAAAGACGGAATTCGTTGAAATAATCCAGTTCGTCTGCGCATGGAGCACCACAAGTCGCAGAGACCAATTTCGTGACGTGAAGATTACGTCCAATTATTTTGCATCGCTATTTGACTATATCTGGGCCTCATATATTCCTAGGGCTGTCAAGACATTTGACGAGGCATGGTTCAAGAACTCGCCATTATTGCAGTACGAGGCGCAAATGATGAGAGAGAGACGGACTCTAGAGTTTGAAGACATTATATTTCGCTGCAGATATATACAGAGGGCAACCGATGTCAGAGACTTTGTCTACTCTTCTCTTGCACATCCGACTGCAAGGACGATAGATGGATATCCCATCATCGACGCCGACTATACGATAAGCGAGGCTGAATTGCGACTACGACTCTTTTCCATCATCAGTCAACGATCTCTTCGCTTCCTTGGGCTAGTGTGGCATACACATAAAGAAGAGTTGACATCCGGTCTGTCATGGTGCCCCAGGTTTGATAGCACGCTGTACGAAAATATGCTTGGGAGATATGACGCCTCTAGGAATTTATCCATCTTCCAGGATAGTTCTGCTCCGCAGATAGAGAAAAGCAAGTTAAAGATCAGTGCGCTTCTCATCGACGAAGCTCACCTCTGTGGAGAAGTCGCCGGACCCGTTGAAAAGGCATTCGATGACAGTATATACGATGATCTTAAACCCGTACTGCATAAAATCATAGAAGACTATTGGTCACTGGCTAATGAGTCGAATTCTCGATGCCCTAGCGCCTACGAAGATAGACTGATGGCATTTGCAAGCACACTTATTGCAGCAATCGAGAAAGAACACCACAGAGTCATTGCCAAACAATTTGAGCAATACTGTAGAGATCATTGTCCTTCGATAAGTGAGGACTTCCCAGATAATTGGGTTGACAAATGGGGATTGAGTCAGCCAGGTGACCCGTTTTTCCCATTTCGTGATCGATGTGCAAGTAACATCCAGAGTAAGAAATTTTTCACGACTGCGAGAGGTTACTAGTACGTTTTCTCCTTTTTAGTATGTGTCAAACGTGGTAAAAACGATTCTAACAAGTGTGTTCATCAGTGGTACGGGATCGCCTCTAGTCCAACCAGGCGATTTGATATGCATTATCCCAACGGCTCAAACACCTTTCATTATTCGGCGCTTGGAGGGCGAGCAATCAGCATATCACGTTGTTTGCTCTTGTTACATCTACGGAATGATGTTTGGAGAAGCCGTGAAGAAATGGGGTGAGGATTTGACTTCAATGCGGAAGGACATTATTCTAGTGTAAAAAAGCAACTACACTCTCTAGGACAGAGAGGACCTAGAAGCAATTAAGAACAGATTTTTACTCTTTTCAATTAGTTGATACTTAATTTGATGATAATAAGCGCAAAGAGAGTTGCCGTGTAGGAGATGTGGGTAATATGAGCTTGACAGAAGGCTAACCCAGCACATACGACCATAGGTAGTGGAAAATTCGGGGTCCCGTCTGCTCCCCCATAGACAAGCCACTAACCGGCAGATTAGTAGTCAAGTGGGTGACCATTGGCGAACACCGGCTGTTGTATGTTTTTTCATTTTGCTTTTTTGCTCTCTTGGTCTACCTCGTGGCGTCGTGAATATGAACCCAAGTACCCCCGGTCATCAAGCACATACGACCATATCCATTAGAATATACGGGATCCCGTCCGCTCTCCCAGAGTCAAGCTAATGAGAGGCAGATTAGTAGTCAGGTGGGTGACCACTGGCGAACACCGGCTGTTGTATGTTTTTGTCTTTTTTTTGTTGTGATCTTTGATATATCTAGTGTTGTGCTCGGCTGATGTCGTGATAATATTGGACCACCCAAACTTGCATTGCCCCCAACTCCGTCAATGTTTCAGCCGCATAAACTCCATTAAAAGCCGAAAAAAAAGCCCCTATTATCAAGAAACGACTCAGTCTTCTCCGCAACGCCGCAGTCCGCACGCAGTCTCTCTCCCTTCTCTGCTTCGTCAATCCCATTCATCTTGAAGAAAAAAATATTTTGCCTCATTGGGAATTACGGGTCTTTTTGAATGCTGACAGCCAATCTAACCAAATATGGAAGTCAACCCCTAACTGGATACGGTAAAGCCGCATCGGGAACCGGCTCGGGAGTTGCGGAGATCGTAATTGGGAAAAATAAGGCTGCACTCCCGAACTGCGATGGAACCACGTTGGATGGCTAAAGTTGGACATAGGGGAGGCTTAAAGCCGGTGCTTTGGGAAGTGTGGAGAGGGGTGCATGTTGATGACTGGGTTGCTAGCCTTATTGGGATAATGGGCTAGGCTGTGACATCGGATTGTGGTTTTGTGATGTATGTAAGTTGAAGAGTATAAGTATCGATGAGGTTCTTGGGGGTTTGGGATTGGGAAAACATAACACAGCACTTCATCAAGCAATTCAAACCACCATCTTCTATTATTTACCTTTCTTCCACTGCCTTCATCATCCATTTATAGCGAAATTCAACAGCAACCATGTCTACTTGGGGCAACCCCGTCATTCTCTCCTCTGAGTATGTGCTCAGCCAGTACGGAGAATCCCTTGCCGGCAAAACAAGTATGTGACAGCCCAACATCTTGCATACCGATCCAAACAACTCTCTAACGAAATACAAAAACCAGTTGTCGTAACCGGCGTCGCCAACGACTCCATCGCAGGCGAACTCGCCGTCCAAATCAGCGCCTACAAGCCCTCCCTCCTCATCCTAACCGCCCGCTCCGAGTCCCGCGTCGAGCCCATCGTCTCCAAGATCAAGTCCAAGAACCCTGATGTTTCCGTTCGCTTCCTGAAGCTCGACCTCTCCGACCTCAAGGACGTCCGAAGGGCTGTCAGCGATCTCAACGACGTACCCAAGATCGACCACTTCGTCGCCGTGGCAGGCGTCATGGTGCCCCCCTACGGGAAGACGGCCGACGGCGTCGAGTCACAGTTTGGCGTCAACTACCTGGCCAATTTCTTGCTGGTCAAGGAACTGCTGCCCAAGGTTCGGGCTGCTGGGCCAAAGTCGTCCATTGTTATCTGCTCGAGCTCAGCTGTGCGAGGAGGTCAGATCAACTTTGACGACGTCAACTACAAGGTTTGTATTCCATATGGCACAACGTAGAAATGGCCCCGATTGCTGATATGTTGATGCTGTATAGGACGGCGAAGAATACAACCCTCTTGCCGCATATGCCCAGTCGAACGCCGCCAGAACCATCTTCGCCAAGTTTCTAGGCGAGAAGCTTAAAGGAGAAGGCATCCGCGTTTTCAGCGTCGACCCTGGTGGTATGTGCCCAACAATGGAACCCCAAAGGCACACTTGATGATGAGCCATGGCTAATCAGTCGCATTTCGACTCAACAGCGGTTGCAACCGGATTGCAGCGCCACTTCGGAGGCGAGTTCCTCGACCAGATCCAGGCGCTGCGCAACTCGACCGAACGTAAGCATGTTCCCTTCTTCCCCACCACCACCACCTCCTTCTTTGACTGACCATTGGCTGGAATAGCAATGCGCGACCTCGACGGCCGCCCCTATAAAATGCCTTCTTTCACCGGCACATCCGAGGGAGCATCGACGCTCATCACCGCCATGATCGATCCGACCATCGAGGGCGCCCAAGGCGCCTACCTGTACCAAAATACTGTTGGCGATGACGACTTGACATCGTTCGTCTTGAACCGAGAGAACTGGACCAAGCTGTGGGAGCTTAGCGAGAAGCTCATCGGAGAGCCTTTCACCGTCTAGGCTCTGTCTGTGTCTCCACACATCATGCACACTCTTTCAGAATGGCTTCGCGCTGGCCCGTCGATAGAAATCAAGAAAGCCCATATCTTAATCAAAGAATCTTCAATGGACCCTCCTGCCTCTTCGCCCGCCAGTAGTTTGTCGTCCTGATAATGTCTGGACACTCGTTCACAATCCACGGCCACTTGCGTACCATAGTGGCCGAGATCTCGTATGACGCGGGATCCCAAGCCTCTCCCCATACCACCATTCCTATCATGCCGTCTTTGTCCGACCCGCCGCACTGTAGAAACATGTGATGGCAAAACTCATCCTCATCTAGACCATTATGCAATCGCCTTAGCAGCGCGTCCCGCAAGGAAGGCTGAGCGCAGACGTCAATCCAAGGATGATGGATGACTAGCTTCTGCAGCGCCGTCGGGTGCAGATTCGGCGGTATAAGCTGCAGCTCCTTGCCGTATCCAACAGTACCGCCAGACACAGAAGGCAGAGTAGGCATAGTGCCGACGCCGGCGTAGAAAGGCGATATGATATCTTCGGCCATGGCATCCATCCCTATGCCGATAGCCGCCGCATTTGTTCCCGCGGCCCGGATGACGTTGAACTGCATCACCGACAACAGCAACTGACTGTCCAGCGTGTGCTGCGCAACATGGCGAGAAACCAATTCATAGAGCCGACGGAAAAAGACACCTCGGTCGCTCGCTGGCATGGTGCAAAAGAAGCGAAACATGTCGTCGCGGTGTTTCCTAGAGAGGAACACGTCGGTGAAGCTTGTACCGTAGTATTTGCGGCTAGCAACTGTCAAATCCGAACTGGATTCTTCCCAAGCATTTATCGACTCTGTTTGCGTTTGAGCAAGCCGCCATTGATGCTGCTTTCGATCCAGCGGCTGCCCGTCTTCGGTCCTTGGGTCTACATAAAAGATCCATTTGCTAAACTGGCTCTTCTCCTGTTGTTGCTTCCGCAATTCCTTCTTTCGCATACCTGGTTATTCGTTAGTCCCCATGAAGCAAGGAGCTAGATAGATGGGCAACTATCCGTCACTTACGACTGGCCCGCTGGTTAAGCCTGTTCTGCAATTTCCGCCGGTTTGCCGCACTCAACACCTCCGTGCCTTCCGCCTCCACGCCTGGGGTGTCTGACATGGTGTTTCGAAGGCTCTCGATGCTATACGCTGTGCATTGGTCTGTAAACTAATACCATCATGGCAACAACTAACGCGCCTCACAAAAGCTGTCGAGGGGGTGAGATTGCGACGTTGGAAAGTGGCGGGCGACATTATTTAAGTCCGGGTCCCGGGTCCCACCTAAATCCGCTCCGCAGTTTATCAGCACTCCGTATATACGGAGCAGTTGCTGTGCAATGCAAACATCCTGGCATTGTTACATTTGCAACAAGCTTTGACCCAAGCCATACTCATGCAGAAAAAATATACGCTGCATTGCACAAAGCACAACCGATACTGCTCCGTATATTTGGATCTTGCTTGCCACTATCAGACGTCATCCTCGCACATCTACACTGTCCAACCGCTGGCAAAACGACATACACTCTTGTTTCATCCGCTCGCCTTCTCAAAGTCGACAGAGCATCGCTACGCTATGATTCGTTTATTATACAGGTGCCCGGCAATCTCCCAAAACATGAAACTCTGCACTCGTGAGGGGTGGGGGATGGGGGGGGTATGTAGAAGATGCTGGTTGCTGGTGACATAACTCGTATACCCAAAGGAAAAACAAAACTAGATGTCGCTCATGTGCCCTTACCAGAAAAAGGGCGAAGATAATCTGAAATCACTCCAAGAAAAAAAAAACCGCACAAAAATGGTGGGGGAAAAAAAGAAGGAAAAAAAGTAGGGAAAACAAATGAGAGCTTATTCCATCCGGGCAGCCTTTTTCGCTCTTCTTATGTAAATCATTCCCTGTGTACCGTCAATGGTTCCTGTCCCAGTCCCGTTGCCATTCCCATTCCCATTCCCATTCCCATTCCCGGCTGCCCGTTCCGCGGTTGCGCTGGCGCCGGCTCCGGCTCCGGCTCCGGCTCCGGCCCCAGCGGATCCTCCTCTTACTGGCTTTTTATCTTCGTCGTTAGCATCGTTATTCGTTTCCATCGCCACTCGAGTACCTGCTGGAACGATGACGCTCAGCACGCAGTCGTCTAGGTGCTCATAAAAGTCCTGCGGTGCGGCAAAGCGGTTGTTGCAAATGGAACAGATGGCACTAGCCCCTGAATTAGCAGACAGCGTAATGAGCCGGCCGCCTCTGTTGGTCGTATGACTATGCAGAGGCGCCTGCTCGACCTGGTGAGCCGCGGCAAGGTGGCGCTTGAACACGTCGGCTCGATTGAATGCTTTTGCGTAGGCTGAGCCGACCCCTGGACAAAACGGGCAAACCATGGTTCCTCGGTAATGTGTGAGCGCGTGGCGGTTTTTATCGTACTTGCGAGCAAAGCCCTTGGTGTGATACTCGCACGATTCAATGGGACACTTCTCGGGCCTCTCCTCCTGGTGCGTGAGCATATGAGCGGCCAGGTCTTTGAACACACGTCCGCAGTCGGGAAACGGGCATCTGCTACGGTTTTCGGGTGCCGGCGGTGTCGGTATAGGTCTCGATAGGTGGTGTGGTAGCGACGGTTGGGACGATGGCGGCGGCAGTGACAGCGGAGGAGGCGGGGGCGGCGGTGCTAACCTGCCGGCTGGGCTCCGTGAGACCATTTCCCATGGTATCGGATCTTCCATGATACTCGGTGATACCGCCATCGAGCTAACAGATGATACTGACAAGTGTGAGCTGGCGATTGGGATGGGTGGCAGCTCCATCACCGGCGCTGGCGGTATAGCCGCCAGCGGCACCGTTCTGGTCGGCTGCTTTACATCTTCGTCCTCTTCGCCGTCACTCGACATGTCATTGTCCCCATCCCCGCCCACTTCTGCCACGGATTGCCTCACTTCGCGCATCCAGTCCTTCAGCAAAGACATGGGCGGCCAATCTCCGCTGGCCTTGCCTCCTCGGTGGGGGTTGAAGTGAGCTCGGCGAAGATGAGCCGCCGCATTATAATAGGCGCCATAGTGCTTCTGCATAACGCAAGCTTTGCAACTCGAGAGGGGAATGGCTGGCTGCGGAGATGCCGGGCTTTGCCCTTCAGGCTCGCAGCAAACCCATCGCTTTACTAGCGCTGCGTGTTTAGCATCTGTATGGCGTCTCAGCTCGTGTTCGCCGCGAAATCCTTCGGGATATTCATTACACTTGCGGCAAAACACGCGCCGTAGGGGTGGTCTTTGGTAGGCTGGCTTGAATCTCATGGGTGTCAAGTGGTTTCCGAAGATTGGGCTCGATGTGTTCGTTGGGTCTCCTGCGACCGTATGCCGCCTGGCACGTCCAACATGTTCTGGGACCGGCTGACTCAAGGAAGACGAGACGCCCCCGCGATTGATATTGGCATCATCCACCGCCTCTGGACGCGGTCCAAGTAGTATTTCCCTGTGCGAAGGCGCTGGAGGAAATGCAGAGCTTCCCACAGATGACCAGCGCGGCTCACGTGCCGAGATGGACTGGGGCGTTGACAGCTGAGGATCATTATGGGGGGTAGGAATTGGTCGTCCAGGACGGATGAAGCCGTTGAATCCAAACATATCTTTGGTTCCGCTTCCTAAACTCATGAGGAAATCTGCACTGGAGCGAATATTTCGGGCCTGCCACGTATCCATGCGCATAATGCGCCGCGTGAGCTCATACACGGGTACATCATCCTGCGGCACATCGCTGGGGGAGCCATCCGTCAACATTGGTCCGCTCGTGATGAACAAGTGGACTAGGGCCTTGTATACGCTGTCTATCGTGTTCTGAGGGCTATCTCTGAGTGGGCTTTGATGTCGGAATGCGGGATAAGGCAGCAGGGATATCGAAGCGAGGTCCATAAGCAGAGTGCGAACTATGCTGAATATGCACAAGGAGTAAAAAACAGCCAGCCATTCCTTTGATTGAAGAGGAGAATTTCTCAGAGAAACGGCCTCAAAAGACTGCAAAAATGTCACCATGGCCTGTTCGACGAGGCGGCTGTGCTCTCCGGTAAAATCTAGGCGGTCCGATGGAGGCTGATATCCAAAACTGGGATCCAACTGGAGGACGGGTTTGGGGTGGAAAAGGCAGTAGAATGCGGTTTCGCGGAGCAACACCTTTGCATGATATAAGACTGGGTAATGTGACTCCTCGGCCTCGCGAGACTGGGATATGTATCCGGTATACCTCAGGAGATCGAGTGGGCTACCCGATGTCTCCTGGCAATTCCAGCTGGCAGCCAGAGCGCAGAGAATAGGCGGAGGCCGGTTGACCATGTCTTGAGTGAGCTGCTGCGTTTCGTTGTATCCATCGAATCTTCGATGGGATTGTTGTTGTCCAGACCACCAAAAGGCATCTCGATAGTCCATACATGTTCTAACGTGCTCACCAATGTGGGCTGGGAAAACGCATGTTCTCTGAAGATAGTCGTTCACATTTTGTCGTCGTGTAGGGGACGTGGAAGACGTGGGTGTTTGGATTTGTCCCTGTGAGAAAGAAGTGCCTACCCGGCTTTGTTAGACCTGTGTTGAAGATTTCCGGTTTCGCAAAAGGCCGAACTGGGGAAATAAGAGAAAGTAGACAGTAGACATGGAGACACAAAGCGAGGCATTACGAAGTGGGAAAGAAGAAGAAGGGTGAACCAAATCGGTATACCTGGCAATAAGTAGTCGGTAAAAGCGCTGAGGGAGCTGCGGAAGCACCCAATGACGGCCCAATGGTCCTCGGAGCTTATCAATGGCAAATTTGAGCAGGCTGAACACGGCTGGTTTCTATCGCACTGATTCCCGATAAGAGACGAAATATATGAGTTAGTCCATGCACAAGAAACGCCCCCCCAGAGGTTTGAGAGAAGAAGAAGAAGAAAACCAATATCACACCTCCTTCTTGGTCACTTTACAGCGGAGGCATGGCCGCTGGTCGTGAAAGAGGCGAAGCTCTCCGATGGACTCGAGACGAGGCAAGCTGCCGACCCTGCTCCTCTTCAATGGCGGGAGGAGGGGCTCGACATCGGCGTCGACGGCGCTCCTCGGGGCGGCGGAGCGCTGGCTGGAGTATGCGTAGGTTATGAGCGAGTCTCGCCGTTCGTTCGACGGCGTCGGGATTCTGAGAGGAGGGAGCTTGGAGGACAGGGCGGGGCGTGGAAGGTGCATGAGAGGCGACGGGCCGGACGGTTCAGAGGCATTGGACAGATATGGACCGTGTCCAGAGGCGAGGACCGACGACGAGGACAGCGTCGAACTGGCGGCAGAGAGCTCCGAGTCTCTCTTTGCGTGAGTGGCATGCATTCGGGCGTGGCTGCTCCGATCAAGCTCGGTGGGAAAACCGTAAACGTAGTGGATGCACCGGTCGTCCCAGCACTTTAGAGAGGGAAGCGGATAAGCGCTGGACACAACTTCGCTGCCGCACTCCCGCTGGGCCCGGAGGACAGGGTCGTGCAGCTCCAGATGCTTGTCCAGCCAAGAGCCGAACCCTGGCGGCGCCGATCGCGAAGAGCCTCTCAGGGGCTCGACGGCATCCACGTCTATTTTGCGGGAGCAAAGAGAAAGAGAAAGAGAGTCAGCGTCTGGGCAAGGCGAACTAACAACAGGACCCGGCCTTGTTGTTTTTGGGCCTGACGATGGATGGAGTACAAAGCTGATGTAGCATGGAGTAGCAACAGTATTTTGACAAATGGATTGGGGGCTTGCATGAGGCGGGTTGGTGGCGGCGGCGGCGGGCTGCGTGGAGAACGGGAGATGGGCAGCTAGCTAATCAAGTAGCGGTAGGAGGGTCTCAGCTTACTATCTCGAACACAAGCAACTTCGAGGCATTCGCAACGGTGTTGAATCGCGCGAGCCTCTTCAACGTCGGACATGAAGGGGGCTACGCGCGACGCCAGGCCTGATAAAGCATTTGCGAGTCAGCACGCGGGCTCCGTTGCCGGACCAGAAACTGAAGGACGGCTCGTATGTATGTGCAAGTATGTGAGGGCATGGACGGAGCAGCAATCGCACGCGCTACCACTATGTACGGTATCTGTCTGGTCTGGTTTGTCTGTCCGCCTGTCTGTCTAGTCCAAAACAAGCGTGTATGCATGTATGCATGTATGTACGGAGCAATAAGGTCAGGTAAGGAAAAGCAGGGCAGGGCAAGGCAAGGCAAGGCAAGGCAAGGCAAGGTAGGGGAGGAGAAAGCGTGTGTGTGTGTGTGTGTGTCAATCGAGGCCGGGCTCAAATGTGGACAAGGCTGTATCAGGACAGGACAGGGGGGTTGACAGGCAAGGAAGAAAACCGAGAGCAATTGAGGGGGAGGCTATGATGCAAATGCGTAAATATGCGCACACACAGGGCACCAGCCCGTACATGCACACACATGCGCACATGGGGGTGAGGGCGGGAGGAGACCAGGCGAGACAGGCAGAGAGACTGAGAGACAGAGGCAGATAGGGCGGACCGAAAGTGAGAAACATGGAGGCATACCGTGGCGATCAACGACGTCTTGGAGGACGCGCAGTTTGTGGCGCAGCATTTCGAGCTCTTCCGGCAGGTTGAGGCCATGCTGGAAGACGTGGTGAGCGTGCATCTCGACCTGTTGTTGGTCGATGGCAGTAGAGTCGGGATCAAGAAGCCCAGACATGCGGTTGTTGCTTTCAACGGCGTTTCGCGCTGTCGTTGCTTTGGTCGTCTTCGTGGCCAGGTTCGGCATCTAGGTCTCAGGACATGTTGTCGGCGCCGAGACTGCCGTGTCCATGACACGCGCCCTGGGCAGGGCCGCTGAGGGAGAGCGAGACCGGTGAGCGGGCAAGCAAACAGCGAGCTGAGGAGGGGAGAAGAAAGAGAGGGCGTGGAAAGTCTCGTGGGGGATGGAAACGTCCGGGCTGCCCTCTTGCTTCCCCTTGGAGATGGTTTCGTGAAGGCCTTTTGGCAGACCTTATCTTCTCTCTCGCCTCTCTCTCTCTCTCGACTCTTTGTCTCTTCGTGTGCTCTTTCGTGCGATATAAATACCCCCCTCCGTATTCGTTTGTTCTCGTTGGCGTTGTTGCGTCTTCTTTTCTTGCAGCCAGGCTCGTCTTCTTTTTCCCTCTCTCTCTTTCTCTTTTCCTTTTTTTCCCTCCCGCCTACTGTCGGTCTCGTCTCCCGAACAATTTTCTCACTTGCATTCTGTCTCCTTTCGAATTGCACACCCACCTGCCACCCCCGTCGCCTCCCCTGCATTATCCATTGGGGCCATTTCGCGGGAATTGCGGGCTGGGGTGTTTTATCAATAGGGCGGTGCGAGTGGGTTTTTTGCTCGAGGTGGGTGCTACCACTCCATGCTGGAAACGCAACGGTTTTTTTCTCTGCTTCTTTTCGCTTCTCTTGTCGTGGTAGCACAGGTACCCGCTACAAGGCGCGTGGGGCACAGCCTTGCAGGCATGGCATCCGATTAGGCGCCGCCCGGTATTGCAGACATGGCGCGTACAGCGGCCACGGGCCTCAGGGCAGGCTGGCAGCGCGTACCGGTACAGACACAGTTACAGCAGCGAGGGCGCACGGGCAGCACCTGGACAGGCGAGATAGGTAGTCGGTACTTGGACGCACACCCACTTCTGCAGACCGAGAGGGCTCCATAATCCAGGTATTATTCGAGCTGGACGGCCTGGACGGCATGTCTCACGCGGGGTGTGGGAGTGAGGGTGGATGCGGGTGCGGGTGAGCGTTGCTGTTGAGTCGTTGAAGGGCCCAGGCCAGGGTTGGACGGCGGCGCACTGTGTTTGGCCCCAGAGCGGCCGGCGTTGCACCGTGTCTGAGACCTCGGAAGGGTGCCATGTGGCCTGTCTCCGCACTGTACCAGCCAGTCAGCACCGGTGTGTGTGTGTGCGGCGAGCACAGTACAGGACTGGCTGTACGGTACGTGTGCGGTACTCCGCGAGCGTCCAGTTGTACTCGTAATAGGTACAAGTACGAGAACAGCCAGGCAGGCAGGCAGACAAAGGCAGGGCGATGGAGCAGCTTGTGGGTTCCAGTAGCGTCTGCTCTGACAAGGTTAGAACAGGTGGTACTACTATACTACTGCTATACTCGTGCTCTTGGCGCCACTGTTGCAAAGCAGGTGCCGGCAAGACCCTGCGATGGCATCTCTTCCAGAAGACACGGGAAATGTCCCCCGTTGGTACTAGCCAAGGTACCTGCTGTCTGGTAAGAACTGGGCCCGAGTCGGTGCTACTGTACAGTACCTGGTATCAGCTGTCCTCTATGCCAGGTAGGACCAAGTCAGGTAATGTAGTACTAGAACGCTCGGGGGATGTGTCTTGAGGAAAGAATCGACATGTAAGCGGCAGTACTTGAACAACGTGCCTATACGGTAAATGGCCCCGAGTACCTTGGCACAGAAGGGTGACAGGCAAGGCAAGGGAAGGAAAAAGCACACGCACACACACGCACGAGCCGTCTCGGAATACATCCGACAAGACTAAAAAAGGACAGTCAAATAAGTCGAGCAAGGCCAAGCATCCCCAAGGCAAGGGAGAAGGGAGAAAAAAAGAGGTGGCCGGTGCACAAGCTCCCGACAGCCACCCAAACCAAAAACGAAACCTGAACGGAAGAAAGTCACCAGTTCAAGTTCAGTCCCGGCTCTGCTACCTACTACAAGTACTTATCAATCGGCCCATACTGTACTCCGTACAAACCGTACGATGCTGTACTGCTCCCCCCATCTCGATGCCGCAATGGCGAATGAGCCGCCCTGTCTGGCGGTAGTCGAGAACCCGGCATGGAAGGTAGCATCATCAACCCATCTCATGCGGCAGCGGGTGGGAGGTGAGTGGGAGGCGAGGCCAGAGACAGCCAAGTTGAAGGATGGCTGCGTCTTTTGTGCGCACACACGTGTGGTCTTGTCTTGTCAGAGTACTTGTACATGGTAAGATGGGCTGTCAGTCAGTTCTTAGCCCTTGGGGCCCAGTACCAATGCAGCACTCCACCGCATTTGCATTGACTGATTCAACTGTCGCTAAACTCTATCACCACAGACAAAATTGGACTGCATTCTAGACATGGCTCTCGAGAGGTTAGCATCCTCGCAGTACTACCGAGTAGGCAAGGCCTGGTGCTGCTAGTGCCAGCAGTGGCACCTGGTCCAACTTCAACCGGCGATATCTCAGGCTTCCCGCTCGCGCTCTGTCTCGTACATCTGCATTTTGCTTTCCATCCTCCACACACCCCTGCCTGGTGGTACGCGTACTAGTACGTTCTAAGTGTGGTGCGTGCTGTGCTTCTGCCCAGGGCTTGTTTTAATCACCGCCTCGCCTCACCTGTCACCCAGCGCCAGCGCTACTGACTGACAACCTCCATGCACGCCCTGCTCACTTTTGATGATCCATTCATCCAGTCCCGCTGCTGCTTGTGCTTGTGCTTATTTACGATACAGTGTACAGTACTCCGTACAGTAAGTAGCCACCCATCCCCGTCCAATCTGGGCCAGTCAGCCAGCCAGTATTCACTCGCGTACTCACGTACTCACTCGACTCACTCACTCACTCGCCGTACGCACGCACGCACGCACGTACCCCCAAACAAGACAGACCACTTCCACTCTGTCCGTGCAGGTCGAAACGGGGCGGTTTCGGTACATGTGCGTACGAGAATGGAGTCCCGTCGGTCGGCATTGCGACGACCAACGAGCATCTCTGCCGCTCAATGGCAAGGCAATTGTCTCAAGTCTTCGCTAAACAAACTCCCAACCGCCCCAGGTTACCGCCTCTTTGCTCGCAGTCCAGTCCTGTATCTGTGCTGTACCGCTCGCGCTTGTACCTCGTCGCGGGCTTCGACACGGCCCAGGTACCCCGTGTCCAGGTACTCTTACACCGGCCGGCAACCCCCGTCAACCAAAACAAGGAGCCGCCTCCTCCGCCATTCTCGAACATCACGTCGTTGTAGCGCCGTTTAGCCCGCGGCACATTTCCATTTCCAACCCAGACAAGCCCCGTCCACGTACACGTACACACACTCCTCCACTCGCGCGCACACAGCGCACACGCCTTGTACCGGTACTTGCGCGTCCCCCAAGACAACGCCGACTCGTCCCGTTCCTTTTTCGCCACACCCAGGCCCCTACCTCCCTTCTCCATCGTTTCCCCATTGGGCTAGCCGCAACGCTCAGGCCAAAACCCTTCTCCACGCTAAAACACTTGTGCCGGGCCTACTCCACCCCCAATCAGGAAATTCCAGCCCAAAAGCCTGGCAAATTAGAATAAACAAGGGAAAAAGAGAGCGACAGAGTGTGTGTGTGAGAGAGAGAGGGAGAGAGATGAGAGAGAATTAAACGGCCACAGCAGCTTGCCATGCCATGCCAGCGCTGCGTCAGACAAGACATACACTCGAGCCACTCGCCAGTCGCTGGTTGGCTGAGATGAAAATCAAAAAGCACACACACACACACACACATACACACACACACTCACTCACTCACACACCATTTGACACCCTTCCCTTCCCTTTCTCTCTCTCTCACTCTCTCTTTTTCTCCATCCACCCCAAGCCTAATACTAACTGTACCCGCTCTGCTCAAGGTTCCCCATAATTCCGCTCTTCCCAAGTGTCGATGATGCTGTTCGGATGCTTCTGCTTCGGGCTGCCGCCCATTCGAAACAAGCCACCACGTATGGGGACATGTACGAGCATGTGCGTGCATGCAATGCCACTCTCGCTATCAGTCTATCTCTGCCGGCCTGTCTAATGCCATTACATACTGTGTATTCCATCGGTTTGTGCCCGCATCGTATGGATCGTATATACTGTAGGTAGGTAGGTATTATCTTTGTAGGATTCAGGTGTTGGCTGCACGGAACGCACTCCGTATCACTGCCTACAAGCATATCGACCAGCCTGCCATATGGGCGATGGAGCCGCATCCATGGATTGACCAGGTGGTAAGTGATGTCAAGAAATCGCTGTGTAATACAAAAGAGAGCCCGTCGTCCTGCTTTGGTCGTAGCGCCGTACTTGGCAGCAGCACCAGGTGTTCGTATCTACAAGCTTGGCCAGCATGCATACTATAAGGTCATCATCTTACATACAAGGCCAATTACAAGCACTCTATGGGCATGGTGTTCTATTACAGTACAAGTACTCGTACATTGCATGCAAGACGAGAGATAGATAGCCCAGTCAAGGTAGCACCAGGCAAACGTCCCCGTCCACGGCCTTGGATGCGAGAATCCCCCCCCGACAAGGACCGGGACTAGGACCCCCAAATTGCTCCGTGGTTTTTTGTTTTTCAATCTACAGAATACTACCTGCTTGCCTACCTGCTTGCCTACCTGCTTGCCCATCCTTGATTACTGTACACTAACCTAATACCCAGCTCCATTTCTCCATCCTTTCCCCCCATTCGCTCCAGAAGGCAGCACGTCGTATCCAGCCGCTGACTGCCGCCAATCTCTCCACACAACCAAAGATCGATCAGTATGGAAAAAAAGGGCCCCCTGTCCCTTCTCATTCGCCTTCGAGGGCTCCCTTCTTCCTCAGGTCTCTCGCTTTCTTGCGTGCGAAATGACGCGGGGGGCAAAGATCCCTCCCCCAATCATTTCCCTCTCCATGACGGACCTGATACTCATACGTCAGGCTACATGGACAAAAAGCTTCCCGAATTGCGTGCGCCTGGTCATGTCATGTCCTTAAGTCCGCCCACTGCTTGGGCCTACATCATCGGCGTGTTTATTCTTGTATGCGTGCATCGACTGCCAATAACGATACCGAGGTAATGTCGTGCCTGCTGCTACTCGTATTACCTGTATTGGGCACTTGGTTTGATTGACCACCTCGGGAGGTAACCCACGGTTGCGTCTGTATTTTACTATACTTTACATCACTTCACTTCACTTCACTCCAGTAGTAGAGGGATTCTAGTCCAAGCCCCTCGTCGAACGTCGTCTAAATTAAAACTCGTAATAAAGCGCATGCTAAGAGCGATACAGATGATGAGAAAATCATCATGATAAGAAAACAAAGGGAGAGAGGGAAACAAGGCGAACGGTACCGCAGCACAGTAGCACCAAGTCCATCCTGCGTGGAAGCATGGCCATCTCTTCGTTTCGTCTTTGCTTCCCTTTGCTGCCATGTCAGGCCATTCCCCATTCTACCTGTCCTCATGATACTCTAACCCGTCAGTAGTCCAATGACTGTCTTCAATTCCAAAGATGCAGCCCAATTCCCTCCAATCCAGATCTAGACAAATGCAGGACGGGATAATTAAAAGAATAATGAAAAAGTGCCAACCCGCGCCAACGCCGTCTTTGCGCCGTCCCCCCACGAGAGACTGTTTCATTGCAGTCTCTCTTCGTCGTCACCGCCACATTTGAAAGATACCAATTAGTCAATGCCGCTGTTGCTGTTGCCGCACTGTGACAGGCAGACCAGCTTCTCTCTAAGGCGTTGTAACCGTGGCATCCCACTAGTATATCCCCCTTGCTTTCTTTTTCCTCTTCTTTCATGTCTTTCTCTCTATTTTGCCTTGCTCCTCTCTATTCGTTTCGTGACCAGGTGGTCTCTCGGAGCGGCATCTCTTTGCCAGCCGCTGCACGGCTTCCGTCCTCCTCAGCCTTGTAGGCCCAGTATTCACCGAGCCTCAGCTCGGCGTACGAGGCGTAGTCAAAGTTAATGTGTGAAATGGTTGCCTGAATCAAGGCCCAGATGCCCCAGTAGAAGCCAGGAACCCCACGGAAGACGTCTACCTCATGCATGAGTTTATCAGTCTCCTCTTCAACGTCCATCCCATTGCTTGAGAGCTTGGCATATGCCCCGATGTATTCACGGATAAAAGCATAACGCTGCGCCCGGGATGGCATGGCTGCGTAGTCGCAGTCATACCCTGCCCATTCGGCAAAATGGTTGGCAATATCAAACGCAGCCGGCGATGGCGTTGCGTATTCGTAATCGATGAAGCTCACGGAGAGCTCCTGACCGACTTCGCGGTGCATGATGATGTTGGCGCTGAGCAGGTCGCAGTGGGCGAAAACCAACTACACATCCTTTGGTTAGCACATGAAGGGATCTTTTGCAACGCATAATGTAAGGCGGCGGGTCGACGGATACATACCCCGTTCCGTCCAAGTCCGGGACGTTGGCTAAGCTTCTCGATCATTTCCTCCAGCTCACGCTGCAGCAAGGCCTGTCTCTCTCGCTGCTGCTCCGTGTCGGTCGGCAGGGCCAGGATCCATTTCTGCATAGTCGACCACAGGTTGGGGATCGGCTTACCCGCCGCTGCCTTGGCGATCATGGCCTTGCGGTGGCTGTCGTGGCCATCGGAATTGCCATTCTCTGCCGACTCTCCCTTGATGGCAGAGTCAGGCAGGCACGGCACCGTAGCATGCCACTGAGCCAGCAATCGAGCAACAGCCGCGATCAATGCAGGGTCGGAGAGATCCTTGGGCTGGGCAACGGTGCCGGGGACGAAGCGGTACAGCATGCCATTGGCAAAGCGGGCCAGCAGCTCTGGGGCTAGGCCGTGCTTCATCAGCAGCTCGTGGTTTGCGGCCTCGCGCTCTCGGTCAATAATAACCGCGGTGCCGTTTCCATAAGCACGGAGCAGCACGGCCTCTCGGTCAATGTCAGCCTTGGACAGACCCGGCAGCCGGTTGACTGCCTTGAGCAGCGTGTTGGTGATGCCGTCGGTGAAGCGAATGAAGTCAACCTTGGAGTCATCGCTGTCCCATTGAGGGAACAGACTCGAGATGAGCTTCAGGGCCGAAGCCTGTGAATCACTGCTGTCATAGGTGATGGGCAGGAACCGGACATGTCCGTGGGCAGAGCCCTTGGTGGTGGCAGCTGGAGACATGGCGAAGGAGAGGGTAGAGTGGGAGTTGATGAGAGTTGGTGAGAGTTGTGTGAGGGGGGCCGGAGAGGTTTAAAAGGGTTGAGAAGAGAGAGTGAGTAGGTCACGCGCGCAGCGAGGCTGTACTATATTGCTCCTTTCTCCTTCTTGTTGACTTTGTATCTCTACTGGGGTTTGGCCGTGGGCTTGCGACGTTGTTCAAGGCTTGTGAAGAAAACTGGCTCAATAATCAAATCAGGGGGGGCTTTGTCTCTGCTGTCATCGACTACAGACAGGCTCGGGGGTGGCGGCGTTGTCGTAATTGCGATAACAGATTCGTAGCACAAGAGTAGGACAGTCGAGGTTTGTTTGCTTCAACAGGCTATTGCGTTCGTAGTGCGGGATGCCAAGGCACTCGGGTGCTCTCAATGGGCTGGCGAATGACGGAGGCGCACGGATACAGGTGAGGCTGGAAGAATCGCACACGACCTGTTGCCCTCCCAAGCCGTCGACTTTGTGTGTGAGAAAAGACCTAGGAGCGTCAAATAGGGTGGGCCGCTTGTGGAAGGGTAGAACGCTTCCATGTGATGGTGGCTACAACAAAAGCCACGAGACAACCCCAAATTAGGGGAGGGGGAGGCGGGCGGCGGACGGCGGACGACGGGCTTGTTGTGGTCTCTGCGATGGCGCTGATACTTTGGAAATACCAGCAATGCAGTGTAGATGCCAGGTACTCTGCGCAATGACGCTCCGCGCTGCTCACGAACCTGCAGGGTCCAATATCTGTCGAAGTCGCTGTCGTCAAAGGTAACATCAGCCTGTAGTTGGCACGCGAGATGCGAAATTTTGTTGGGACAATGGCACTGCTGCTAGTGCTAGGACTTGAAGAGATTAGCACCTCCGCATCCTGGGTAAAACGTGCCAGGCCTTAAAGTCCAGAGAGTGTACCTGCTAGGTTGGTTTCTGATCCTGAGCAGCCCATATCTAACACAATTGGCGGCTTTGGTACCTGAAGTCTACTAAAGGGGTACTTTGCACGTGCTTTTGGAACGTGACTGCGCTAGTCTATTTGGTGCCACCTCCTAATTTTCCAAGTCCCTTTCTAACACGCAGGGGCCGAATCTGTTCACCGCCCAGTTGCAGAAAAGGCCATCAACCAGGCACGAGTCTGATAGTACTAGTAGTACTCCGTACCAAAAGGGTACATGGTTTCTGACGTCAAGTTTGGGTACTGCGACAATGGCAACTTGCGTGGGCAAACGCCATATCGCCACACCGCGGACATGTGGGAAATTTTGGAGAATTTTGAAAATTTCATTTTCTACCGGAGGTACAGTATTGAGTACAGGCTGCCAGGTATAGAAATGTTGGGAATCTTCATATAGAAAGAATCCATTCTTGTGCCTGATGCGCTAAACCCATGATATCGTGCAGCGTAGGGTATCGTCCTTTAGCATGTGAAGGAGCCAGAAGACAGGGGCCTTTTGCAGTGGAGATTCATCCGTTAGATGAGTTCGGGCGCCTCTCCAACTGCTGCCCCCCGCATTCGCCATCAGCTGAAATGGCTCGCTAAACGCCCCCAAAACTGTTGTCCGACACACATACAAGTACATTCAACTGTACCTCCTTGTAGAAGGTACAGGTACGGATACTCGTTGTTTGTTCTCATTGTTTGTTTCTGGGTGTGTCAAAATAAATTATATCATGTGATGTAATCTACTGCTTTGAAATTCCTGCAAATAAATCAATGCTCATTCTCAACAAGCAAACACATGCACATCTGACATCTCGAGCCCAAAACCACAGATAACCAGTCTTGGGGTCGTTTGGGGGCAGGCTGACAGCCAGTGGAGCTTAGTACTAGATACTCGTGTACTGTATAGCCACCATGTAGTGTTTGGAGGTAGACGCAACTTCATCCCACTAGAATCGGGCAAGCTCATGCTCTGCTACCCCCAATTGACCGCAAACTGCTTAGCTTCGCCTTTTCTCATCAACCTCAACACCAAATCCAACCAGAGCTCTATCTTGCTTATCCTTGCACGAACCATAGCCTCTTGCGGAAGAGCATATCCCAGCCTACCTAGTAATTACGGCCCACGACGAGGACATTAGTCTCCTGAGATCCGGCGCACAAACACGGAACCAGCACGGCGCCTCCTCGGAGCAGACGCATCCCGACTCTTGATCTAGGCTGGTTGGGGGTCTGTCGCATCATGTAAGGCGCGTCGCCTCAGTCCCACGAATCTGCGGCCATGTCTTGCGTCAACGACGAAAACTTCGTCGCTGTCGCGCTCGTCATCAACCGGTCGCGCGATGGGCCGGCCTTTGTCTTCCACTATCCGTCTCATGTCCCCGCCCTCTCAAGCGGTCTCGACAAGTCGGACACCATAGACGTCGAGGACATCCTGTTTGAGCGGCTGTTACAACCTGGCAGCACCGAGGCACCTCCCGATCTCGCCGAGAACCAGGGTGTTCGTGATGATCATTATATGACCGAGTCGGGAATCCAGGTCGTTCCCTGGGAGCATGTAGCCGGCTTTCCATCCCGTGATCTTGCAGGAATCTTGACCCCGGCGAGGTCCTATCATAAGAAGCTCTTCCAGCTTTCTCTTGACCCGCTCCTCTGTGTCTCTTACCCTATCCACGTACCTGAAAATGGGAAATGGAAAAAGACAAAAAAGGCCAACAAGGCAAAGGCCAACAAGGACGCTGATGAGGGTATTGCACCAGACGAGCCCAACCCCCTGCCTATAATCAAAACCGAGCCATGTAAAGAAAAGACCAAGGAAGGCAAGAAGGACGATGCAGACGAAGAGAAGCGCAGCTCAATGACCATGTTCAACCTCGTCTTCTTTCTCAACCCCAAGAAGCATGAAACCAAGGAGCTCATCGACTCGCTATATTCGAATATCGTGAAAAAGGTCAACAAAGCATATCAGTATAGTCAGCAGCATAGCGAGTTTGTCTGGAAAGAATCTAAACGTATCTTGCTCGCAAAGGATAGGGCTCGTGAAGATCGTGAGTTTCCCTCTCAAAGGATAAAGGCCTCAGACAGAGAGGCGGGCAGGGACAAAGCTAATCACATCGGGGTGTTTAGAGAAGAAGATGAGCGTCTTGTGGAAAGAACTTATCCAAAACTCTTCGCTAGCAGCTTCAATGTGTGAAATATACAACGCCATCTCTCAGAACAGGATTGCAACTTTGCATCTCGATACTGTGGACGGCATCCTAACTCCGTCAGTCCAGATTCCGGCCCCCTTTTTCGTTTCGGATCTTCCCGCAGAAGACGATGAGAGACATCGTGGCCTCTGGCTCACAACAGCCAACGCTTTCTTGAGCCAAGATGCACTTGAGGAGCCCGGATTCCTGGACCGCAACTTTGCACTCTTGCTCATGGATGATGAAAAAAAGATTGTCTCTGAGCTGCAGAGTGACCGTGATCCCACCACTCAGTCTATGGTTGAGTTTGTGCGCCTCGCAAAACCACAAATGTCGTCAGTATTTCCTCTTCTCCTGCGTCGTTGACCCCCCTCTTTACTAACTCGGCCACGTCCTCTTGAAGCTTCTATCAAGTTGGCCAAAGCAACCTCCTCACTCTGGATCAGGTCCGCAAGTATGCCCAGCACTTCATCTTCTGGCGCCGTGCCATGGCCATCCCTCCCCTCCACCCTCGAGACGTCTACATCGTCTCTCCGAATTGCGACTTGGAGAGGCTGCCACAGGATGCCCAGGACTGGCAGAGAGCCTTCCCTCTGGCCCCGCCGCTGTCAACCTTCCTTGCCGAGCTCTCCGTGCTGCCCCGGCCCTACAAGCACATCTCGCCCAGCAAGGCTCACCGGCCGCTGTACCTCCGCATGCTGGCCTGGCTGATGCGCGGCGGCTGGGTGACGCAGCTCTGCACGTTCGGCTATGTCGTCGTATGGCCGGAGATCCTATACGAGGTCGATTACGAGATCGAGGCGGAAGAACTCGGCCTCGCCACCTCCTCCTCCACCGACTGGGCCGATGCTACCAGCATCCACACCACCCAGAGCAACAGCAACGTCGACGCGCAGTCCACAAACTCCTCACTCACTCCTCCGCCGCAGCCGCAACAAGCCCAACAGCAGCCGCAGCAATCGCAGCAGCCGCAGCAGCCACAGCCTCAGACTCAAGCACCCCCCAATGTCCCCAACCCATCCACCCTCTCCGCGGCCGAGCACTCGGCCGAAATGGCCCGTCTCGAGCGCATCGCAATGAAGGCCCACCGCGAAGCCGCCGACAAGGCCACCGCCCACGCCCGCAAGGTTGTCCCTGTCGCAACGCCAAACCCGTCCCTCAACGATGCGCCGCACCTCGTCGGCCTCACGCCGCACATCATCCTCGATCCGAAAAAGGCCGCGGGCAAGGAGTCTCGCTACCTCTCCGCCATTGCGCGGCGGTTCAAGGACGAGAAGCTGCGGTCGGCGTGGCAGAACATGTGTAAGTACTTTGATGGGCGATGTGCCCTTGAGAGGATTGCTCTGCAGGAGGATATGAAGCGCAAAGAGGCTTGGGCTTTGTTAACGGCCATGAGGGAGTATCTACTATGCACAAGACACTGGTGAATAGAGAAAGGAATGACCAATACACTTTATCACTCAAGATCATACTACCGTAGCAACTAGTACTAATTATACATCACAAGCGTTCAAGTCACTACGTTAATAGCAAAGACGCATCTCAGCCGTTTATTGGTCATAAGTGGTATCTGAAGTAGTATAAAAAGTAAAGGAACCGGAGGATATAAGAGATGTTGATAGGTTAAAATTAAGTACACGGATATAAAGTGTAATCCTCCAGAGAGCCCAACACAAAAATCGAAAAATAACAAGAGCAAAGAAAATAGCTGTGTATCAGCAGTGATAACGAAATCCCATTATCCCACAGAGAGGCCAAAGCCGCGCCTGCCAGGACTGATACCTAATAAAGGAAAAACAAAGAAAAAGAAAAAGAAAAACCATACCGGTCGTAGGGCATCCCACACTATGAGAGCCCTCTGTATTGTCCCTGCCTAAGCAAACCAACAAATGCATATCTCATAACGGGTTGTAGTACCAATAGAGCGCTTGACAGCTGTAAAAGGAAAACAAGGGGGAAAGAGACCAAGCCAGAGAAAGGCATGGAGAGTTTGTGTGTGTGAGAGAGAGAGAAACGGGGGAAGCACGCAAGAGAGACGCACAGTCTCTTTGTGCTGTAATGCAGTAGTATATGAAATAAGCAGAAGAGCAGAGAAGAAAAAAGACGAAATGAAAACATAATCCATCCTATTTAAAAGCCATGCCAAATGCCGTTGCCTGTAGCATGCACCCTATCACTCAAAAAGACGAGCCCCTGCCGATGTAATAGCTGACACCTAAACGCCGCCAGTACGGGCACTCGGACATGATCCTCTTGGTATGTCAGAGCCACACAGATTTCCTCTCCAAGATGCTTACTGCTAGATCACTAGCAAAACATCTGCAGATGGAGCGCCAAAAGATGCGAAAACACACAGATAGAAAAGAGTAAAAGAAAAAAAAGCCCAGATTGATGAACAGCAGAAAATAGAAGGAAGGAGGACAAGGATAAAGAGATGTGCGGATAGGCAGAGAGATGTAAGCTCGACCAAGGAATGAAAATCTTCAACATGAATATTATCATGGGAAAACACCAGTAGAGGAATTACTGGGTGAGATCCATATCATATTCATCCTCTTCCTTAAAGTTGAGGGGGGCATTGGGATCATCATCTGGGTCATGCCAGAATTGCGCGGCATCTCCAATATCGCCAGGTAGTCCACCATTACCACTTCCTTCGGGAGTGATGCCAACAGAGTCAAGGTTGGCGCTCATGCCGTTGGTGGGCTCGCCACGGTAGTCGGTATGGTGAGGCACGCGAAGGCCTGAACCAGAGGTGCGTGTGTAGGTGAACGATCCTGAGTCGTTTCTGGATATGGCATCCATGAGCTCAGACTGCATACGGCGCTCATCATCGGTTTGCTCAAAGGGTATCGCGCCGCCCAATTCGGCAATGGTGTTTATCAGTTCCTCCTGCTGCTGTAGCTTAAGGTGCAGCATCCACATCAGATCCCGCGTCCAGCTGACAGCGCCGTTGAGAATATCACCTTTATTGGGGCCTTTGTCTTTGTCTTCAATCGGCAGGCCAGTTGTAATGTTTCCAGCACCAGCGCCTGCAGCTCTCCGGGCACCAGGCCCAGCTAGCCCAGAGGTGGCGTTTGAAACACCAGTAAGGGTGGGCGACAATGGCGTACCATTAGAAATCAGCTTGCGAATCTTCTCATCTTCCAATCTGTGCGTGGGAACGAGTCTGCTCAGGTCCTGGATTCTCTCGTTGATGTTGTCACGGCGGCGGCGCTCAACGAGATTGTGAGACTCGCGACGGCGCTTCCGCTTCATCTCTTGGGTAGACATGGCATTTCCCACGCCAAGCTTGGCAGGCATAGAGGTGCCTCCCTTCATCATGACCTCGTTGATTTGCACCATGCCTGGTTGCATGGGGGATGAAAAGCCAGAATTGAAAGACGCTGGGATGCTTCCGTTGGGCGTGTTAAGCCAATGGCCAGGTGGCGACTTGTCCGTTCGGAGAGACTGAGGGCCAAATCCAGGCGAGTCCTGGCCGATAGGGATGCTGTGCATGCTGTTGGTCTTGGGGGTCATTGGGCTCCTGGTGTTGGAGGCTTTCCTCTGCATCTGCTGGGACATACGGGCCCTCGCCTTGGCATTCAGGAAGTTGGGATCATTTCCGTCTGCCATATCGGCGGCAGCCAGGGGAGATTGCGAGTAGGACAATGGTGACTGTAGAGGGTTGCCGAGAGCGCGGTAGTGTGCGTTGTAAGCATATGGGCTCTGGATGGGATCACCATCTGGGGTACTGGAGTAGCCGTTGATCTGAGATGGGTCGATTTGGATACTAGAACCGCGGTGTGACTGAAAAGTGTTCTGGTAACCCATGTTCATGCCGTGAAAGTCTTGGCCCTGGCCATGGAGGCCGGACTGTCCATCTGAAGGGAGGCCATCCAGCAGCTCATCATCGCCGAAGACGGCAGAGCCACTCGAGAAGCCGTTTGTGTTGGAGTTTGTGTTGAAGTTATTGTTGGCAAAGGACGGGGAGTATCCGCCCGACATGGCCAAGTCGTTGGGGTCAATGTGGCCACCATTCGGGCCAGACCCGAACTGGGTGAAGCCGTGTTGGGCCATTGCAGAAGAGGGTCGATTTTTAATCGATGCAAGAGGCTCACAGTTGGTCGGCAACTGATAATTCGAGAACGGGTTGATTTGTCTCGTTCGGGGCTGCAGGCGCTTTTTCACAACGCTCTGTGATTGTTGGACGGGGCGACCGGGAGCGGCCTCGGAATTTCGAGGATCGGCAAGTAATGCCTGAAAGGGAAACGGTTTGCGGCTACAGCGAAAGACAGAGAGAAAAGAGTCAGTGAGGTGCGCCGCAATAAAGGATTGCTCAGCCGTGCGCGACAAGACAAATGCTGATCAAATAGCCGGCGGCAACGACGGAGCCTGTTGGCCTGACGTGGCGCAACCGATCGGAGAGAGAAATGGAGGGACCGGAAAGACGAACTGTGTATGAGGGGCTGACGGAAGAGAGACTAACTTGACACAAAAAGGGCACGGTTGACCCTGCGTTGCTAGTAGGTGCTCGACTGTTGCAAACTCCAGAATCGAGAAGCAAAGAGGCGAGAGGCGCTCAAGTGTTGAGAAAGCGTGGGGAGGGTTGAGGGTTGAGGGTTGTCAAGATGCGAGCTTCGGAGGGGTTTGGAGACGATTGCTTTTTGTGAGCCCAAGGGCCGAAGTCGTTTCGGCAACGCTACGTGGGTAAAAAAAAAATAAATAGTGGCAGGGTGCAAGCAGCCGGCCGATGGGAGGGGCGGAAATGGCGGGCTGTTGTGTAACTGGGGTGCAGGCGGTGACGGGCGCTTGGGAATCCGCTATATGCGCAGTAAGAAAGCGTCAGTCAGAAAACCGCGGGATGCGATGACGATGTGGAGAGCTGATGAGCGGAAGATGCGAGTCGCGGGATGGGATGAATCTCTGTGGACAAGCCCTGCACTGCGCGCTTTAATATTAGCTCGTCGGGGGTCCAAAGCACATTCTCTGAGAGGGCAGTCTGGATGGGAGGATGTATTGGGGGGGAGGTGGTGAGGGGAAGAATAATGGGCCAAGGCGATCTGCTCACAGCGGGTGGAGGGCTTGGTGTGATTGTTTCTTTCTGGCCTGCTCTCTCGTGAGGGGCGTTGCAGCGAGTCTAGATGCAATGCCACCTGCGCGGGGGAGAAGGTGAGGGAGGGGGCTCAAGAGGGAGGGATGCAAGAAGGGATGGAGGCACAGACGAGCTCAAAGTCGCTTCGACTCACCAAAGGTAGTGGTGTATACTCCGTAGTAGAAGGTGGCTAGCTGCCTGGGAGTTGAGACGTGGCGGCAGGCAGAAGAGTGTCGAGTGGATTATCGTGCGAATATCGTATGTATTTGACACGATACACGGGCAACAGACGGGGTAGTCTTTTGGCCTTTTGAGCGATCCTTGAATGCTTTATGCCTATTTGTTCATAAAGCATGCATGTAATATGTCTGTCGATGTTCCGTAGCTGCGGTAGGATGGCCTTGGCTGCGTCTGGTTTGGTAAGCGGGCTGCCAAACCCTGCGTGCCGCGTTGCACAATGACGAAAGGGCGAGACCGACCTTGTTGCTGGGTCGCTGCGACGGCCCACAATCCCCAAATAGATGTACTGAAGATGAGGCGGCTGGAACCTCAAGCAAGGAGAGACGGGAGAGAAGCGATTCGGTCCGCCGGAGGCTGAAAGATGCGCGGGCACTAGCAGTGATGGGTGAAGACGGCAACAACGAGAGATGTCGGCGAGATGTTTTGCTGGCAGCAGATAATCGGAATATTGCCAGGATAGAGCGCCTAGTTTAGGACCTAAATAATGCACATATGCGCGTATATGCGTCCTCTATGCTGTGCAGGAGATGTTGCGTGGCGTGGTGTTGAGCAGGCGCTTGACGTGAGTGGCCGCAACGTACGAGTATGTTCGCTGTAAGGTGGTGAGGTGGTGAGCACGCAGGCAAACAAGTAGAAGAGAAACCAACAAGGCCCGGTGCTCTGCGGTGGGACCAGACGCTCAAATATTGGAATTCTGACCTTTTTTGTTCTCTTGCACTCCGTCGTAGAGGTGGTATCCTCCCGCTTTCTGGTGGGGAGGGGGAGGGGGATAGTGAGATCTTTTCGCTTTTGCCTTTTGCCTTTTGCAGCGGTTAGCAAATCCCCCTGCTAGTGCAAATAGACTAGACGCCAAAGACGCACGACTTCTCGGATCTGTCTCTAGTGATCTCTTCTGACCCAGCGAGCTGAAGCCGATGGTCGTATCGAGTATTGCCTGGGATGAAGGAAGAGCAGTAGCGGCAATAGCGCTCTGGTATTATTGGTGTTGGCTGAGTGGATGGGCAGAAAGCAAGTCTTGTCGCCCGGAGGAGATGGTGGTGGCCGCGATAAGCTGATAGGCCGCGCAGGTGGTGTCAAGACGCTGGAGCGCCCTTTGCGGTTTTATTGTTTGCAAGTTCCTTTCTTGCTGTGTCCCTGTTTAAACTCTGTCGCCTGCAGCCTTACTCGGTCGCATGCAACCAAGTCGTCGGCGAATGGGGATGAGGCGTCGGACTGGATTATGCCCGATGGAGAAGCCTAGCTGATGACGATCCAAAGGGCAGACAAAGCAGGCAGTGAATCACGCCTCTTAGTCCCGATATCTAGCCCTTCCTTCGGGTCGCTCTAGATGCCGCTTTTCGATGGAGCGACCGGTGGTGTCCCAGATATAGCCTAGCAGTGTCTAGTATCTGTTGCTGCGCTGAGTCGTCTCCGAGTGCTCGTTCATGCATGTGCATATGCAAGTGCTTATACATAAATGTGCGTTGGAGATGTTGCGCGGTGGCGTTGGTCTTGCTTGTCGGTTGGCTGAGGCGGACGAATCGGGCCGTGCGGGCTCTCTTATGTAGTAGATAGGTAGGAGTAGGTATGGGGCTGCAGCTGGATGCAGTATCCGTCGTCGAGGCAGTAGACTCAAGCTACTTTGTCTGAGAGCAAGCAGAGCAGAGCAGAGCAGCTGATGGGTAGCGCGGATGGGTGCACGATGATGCAGAATACGGATCATTCCAAATCTCTCCTCGACAGCTCGGCAGCAAGGTACCCGAGCTCACGTTTTATACTTGCTGCCGGTAGCTAAAAATACCGAATCTCCAGTACGAGAAATCTGGGACGCCTTTCTCGTCTTCTGACTTGTCCAGAGCGCGCAAAAAGTGGTTGGCCAGTTCCCATCCAATTACAACGCCCACGTTACGACGAAGAGGGAGGGGGGGAAACATGGAAACCAGGATGAGCGTGACTCGATGCCGTTAAGACATCAACGGCAACCTCGCTATAAACCTTGGGGGGGCTCCCCATCGCCGGGCATTATGAACCATCGCACTTGTCTCTCATGGTCATGCGTTCCCAGCTTCCAGTGCGCCATCTACCACCTTGGCCACGCGGTCATGTAAGGCACCGGTTCCAAAGGTCAGCCACGATAACGATGACGATGACGGCTCTGGACGCCCTACTTCTGCTCTCTTCTCCTGGATTCTCTAGGCTCCGCCCTACCGTGGCGATGCTACGCGCGTTGGTCAAGCTGAATAGGTAGCCATTAGCCAGGCAGATCAGGTCAGGCCAGGTCAGGCACAGATAACAATGGGTGTGGTGTACACGGAACACGGAGCACGGAATACGGAATACGGAGCAACAGCGCTTGCAACCAACTCACCTAGGCCGTCTTTCAGTCGCCCAACCACGCAGGTCGTGTTAGGAAAGTCGGTCGGTCCGCTTAAAACAAAACAAAGCGTGCTGGTCTCACAGAATGGAATGTCTCCCCCACACATTGCCATACCGACATGTACCGACCTAGTCGCCGTTGCACTGCACCAGGACTCGAGGACTGTCAATGACGTTGGTGCTGCTTATCGCTATCGTCGCTATCGTCGTATCCTTGCCGAGGTGAGCGGCATTAGTCTAGTAGCGGCACTCTCACCTGGGGGGTCCTCTTTAGAGCTAAAGCTCACTGAACTCCAGCGGTGCTACCACCCCATAATAGCACTGGCCCAGTGCTGCCAATCATGTGGCCCCCTTCAACGACGTATCGATTCTGATCCCACACCCCTAGAATCCGGCCTGAACCTCCACTCGTCAAACATCTCGCTCCCGTTGCCAGATTCCCCATCTTCGACCTCGTCCATCGCTTCGACGTCTCCGAGCTTCCCCCCACCAGCCCGTGCCGCCCGTTTTCTTGCAGTCGCCATCTCTCCCGACGCGGCCGCTGCCTCGTGCCCGCTTAACGCCCGCGAGAGTTGAAGCTGGTAGGCTTCCTTTTGCCCCATCCCTCCATCTCGTCCTCGACCTTTCTCTAAGCCACACCCAGCGCTTCTATACATATCTGATCATGCCCCCCGACTGACCATGTCCACAGTGGAGCTAGCAGTTACCACGCTCTTAGGGCTGTCATCTATCAATCGCTGACTGCGAGACGGGACCCCCCTCCTCTGCTCCGTTGGCCGTTTTACCTCGAAGCTCTGCCGCGTCGATCGGGAGCTCACCCGCCGCTGCTGTCAAGCTTGACGATTTGATTTTCGACCTTACTATGGCTTCCAGTAGCTTCCGAGACTCTATTAACTCCCTGGGCTGGAGTCGGCGACAGGATGCGCCCATCACCACGTCTCAGCAGTCATCTGGCCTCCTGGCTTCTCTGCAGAATCTGAACCCTTTCCAGGATCGCGGATACACAGTCCTTCCCACATCGGAAGGTCCAGGAGCACCACTGCCGGCACCCAGTCGGCGTGAGGAGGAGGAGGGCTGGTTTGTGCGTGAGTCAACCTGGACATTGTCCCATTACCTTGATCGCGGCCCCTCCCCCCTCCTGCATACGAAACATGTGCATCGCAGCTCTAGCTCGCACCTTGGATGCTGCATGTGATGCAGATGCGACGCCTCGTGGCTGCAAGTAGCTAACATGGAGTGTAGTAAGTCGATGGGACCGCATGCTGGTATTTGCCTTTTGCAATCTGGCTGCCGCCGCTTGTTTCGTCATCTGCTTCACCCTATTCCCTGTCCTTTCTCTGAGACCACGCAAATTTGTGATCCTGTAAGTCTTCGATGACGTCGCTGCCTC